GTCATATTCAATGAATCTGGAAAGGTACAAAAGGATGACACTGCTCCCTGGAACACAGACACTAGCACAGATCAGTGGGAGGGACTCATTCCAGAGAATGCTCACTATCCAGACCAAAATACATTGGAGGAGGATGATCCTGACCCTCGGATCCGAGATCCAAATGAATTGCAAATGGAACCACATCTCCAAGGAGATGTTCCACAAGCAATAGAACCATATCAGGATGAAGATGTTCTGAGAGCAGTGGGGCAATACCTCCGTGGAGACGTTTTGAGAGCAGTAGGAGCACCTGATCAGCTAAGACACCCTCCACAACAGTCTCTACAACCAAGACCTGAACACTGGCCATCTTCAGAACGGAAAGCCAAAGTAGAGTCACAGTCAGTGGGAGGACAGCCCCTCAACATACAGCCAGCTGATGTGGAAAAAGTCCGGATACAGCTAAACAGCCTGTCCATTGGATCAGCTTCTGGAAGGCATCCAACACCTTCAGGAGTGAGTGGGGCAACACACACACAAATGTGTCTACTCCCTGGAGTACCTGCACAAGTTCCTAAAAGAGCAGTCATGCCTGCTGAAGTCCTAGGAGTACGCAAAAGCAGTCGCCAGACCCGTCCTGCAGACAAAAACCGAGATTATCAAAGGACTTTAGATGAGAAACAGTCTTGAAAAGAGCAGCATGACAACTCCATGGAGAAACCTAACACTCCTGAGGTTCATGAAGAAACATCTGATACAGAGGAGACATTCTTTGCTGGAATAGCAAGTACCGGTTCATCTAACACAGACCTTCCAAGGACACTAAAGGAAGCCTTATCACGTCCGGATGGAGAATTATGGAAGTCTGCCTTGGAGGAGGAACTCCTAAGTCTCAATACTAATGCAGTATATGACACTCTTCCACTTCCGAAGGGAGTAAAACCCATCACATCAAAACCTGTGTTCCGGATCAAGTTTGATCAAAACGGAAACATTGAGAGATACAAACTCCGGATTGTTGCACAAGGTTTTACTCAAAGGGAGGGGATTGATTACCAGGAGGTTTTTGCTCCGGTTGCAAACTTAGAGTCAATCCGAATTATTCTAGCCCTGGCAGCAAAGTACGACCTAGAACTTGATCAAATGGACGTATCCACAGCTTATCTCAATGGAGAACTTGAAGAAGAACTGTACATGCTTCCTCCAGGGGGTGTTCCTATCCAACCTGGATACTGCTGGAGATTGAAGAAATCCATCTACAGGTTAAAACAAGCTGGTTGTACATGGAACAAAACTTTTGATCACAAGCTCCAGGAGCTCGGTTTCACAAGACTAAATGCAGAAACATGTCCCTATGTATTCCGGGACAACAAACAAATATGCTTTGTTGTTGTCTATGTAGATGACCTCCTCCTAGGAGCTTCATCCCGAAAATTCATGGATATCACAAAAGCCAAACTCGAATCCATATTCAAAATGTGGGACCTTAAAGAAGCAAAATACATCCTCGGAATAGAAATCCAACGTGATCGTTCAAATAAAACAGTATCCCTATTGCAACACCAATATATTGACACAGTCCTGGAGCATACTGGAATGAAGAACTGCAAGCCAGTATGGACACCAATGGCCCATGGATCAAAACTCCTTGCAAATGCTCCAGGGGAAGATATTGCGCAACACGAGATGCATATTGAAGGGCGCCAAGTATCATACCTCTCAATTGTAGGCTCCCTCATGTATGCCATGCTCGGAACCCGCCCAGACATTGCCTACGTTGTTGGAATACTAAGCAGGCATAGCTCAGCTCCAAGAAGCCATCACTGGGAAGCTGCAAAATGTGTCCTCCGATATCTGAAAGCAACCAGGGACATGGAACTACGATATGATGGCACAGATGTCTCCATGGACATGGATTTCTATAAATATTCAGATGCAGATTGGTCTGGAGACCCAGACACGTCTCAATCAACATCAGGCTTTGTTTTTATCACCATCCAAGGAGCAATCTCCTGGACAAGCAAAAGACAAAGCATGGTAGCTTTATCCTCCACGGAGTCAGAGTACATTGGATTGAGCAATGCTGGACAACACCTTGCATGGCTTCGGACATTTTTTGAAGAAATTGGACATGCTCAAAATGGACCTACAACATTGCCCTGTGACAATCAAGCAGCTATCATTCTTACACGAGATCCACAGTTCTGTGCTTGCACAAAACACATTCAACGCAAATATCATTTTATCCGAGATGACTTAGGATCAAAGGGAGAGGCAGTAATCAGATACATTCCTACACATATGGTTGCAGACATTCTCACTAAACCCCTCACTCATGAAAAACACTGGAAATTCTCTAAAGCTATGGGACTACGGTTGCACTCGAGTGGGAGTGACAAAACCGGATAAACCCGGTCTCTGCTAAAGCAGCCATTGTTCTCCATGGAGGCTAGCCACCACTCCATGGAGTCACCATTGTTCTCCTAGGAGTCATTATACTGTAGCAAGTAGCACCTCTGACTATAAGTAGTAGGGGGTTTAGTATAGGAATACCTCAGTCGCTTCTATAGCCTCTTAGGCAGCGGCTGAGGTATGTTACATTATATTTATTAGAGATCACCTTAAACTAACATCTATTGTAGTTCCACTTAGGTAAATAATAAAGTTGTATCTATAGCCTCTTAGGCAGTGGCTGAGTTTCACTTAGATTTATTACCAGGAAACATTTTGTAGCCAAGACCAAGTACTTTTGTTGACCCCACCAAAGTCAAGAGACATTCCCATGCCTGTTAGTGGTGCGCTTCATGCACCGTGTTTAGGCCAAACATTGCAACGGTTTTTGGAGTCACTGTATGTTCCCTATCCAAGACATTGACCATCCTGTCCTTCAGCCATGGCCAAACATTGCAATGGTTTTTGGAGTCACTGTATGTTCTCTATCCAAGATATTGACCATCCTGTCCTTCAGCCATTGCTTATACCTCCAAGGAAGGCAAGTCCATGGAGTAAGCACACCTACCATTATTTGTCTGACATTGGTTTAGTCACAAAATGATTACATGAGACAATAGCTGGATCATTGTTCAGAGTATCTGCAAGTCCTCATGCAGGAAGAGGGGCGGTCCCCGGGACAGACTTGCAGCATTTGTTTAGTGAGAGAAGGAATTTGGCGATGCACAGGATGTTTGGGGAAACCAGAGTATTGCATGTCATGCTGCAGGGATGCTCATCAGAGGTTACCATTTCATAGAGTTGAACAATGGGTGGGCACACATTTTGAACCTTCTTGGTGTTATATAGCTGGCTTGGTAAATCATCTGGGCCACACCAGGAAACCATGCCCAGGACATGATGACAACCAGTCTAGCAGAGGACAACTTGCCGGAGGGTGATTCCCAGGGGGACAGTGTCATGCACCAAAGTTGATTGGTAACATGGACAGGTGTCAAAAATGAAGCAAATATTCAAAAGACTCGCCTTTGTGCCACACGGAATAGTAATTAATATTGCCTGTTTTGAACTTGTGGCTGATCAGCACCACCTCTATTAGGCAATCAAGTTGCGCTCACCTTTGCTTTTCATTCAGTACTTTTGGCATTTTGGCATTTTGGCAAATTTTCGCGTCGCCACTGGCTACACATTGCATTGCACCATCACTTTCATTGTTTCCTTTACTTCCCTTCCTTTGCCTAGCCCCACCATGGGTCCCTTACTCTCTTTTTTATTCTCACCCAACAGTCGCTTCTGGATCCCTGTTCTAATCCATTTCCTCGTCACCTCCACCCTCCTCCTACTCGTCTTCTTTGCTCCCCCACCATACCTGATGTCACCACTTTCTATCCACTTCCGTCACCAATCAATCAGCCACCATATGCCACTGCTGATATCAGCAAAGCCCCGGGGGCCAGTCCAAATTGGGCAACAGGTCCATCTTCATGACATCGATCTTCCATCGTATACCATCAAATCATTGGTCGCTCGTCTCGCCTAGTTAGAGTGTGGGTGGGTAGTTTTTGAGCTGGAGAAGGTTCATCCCTTTTTGTTGCCTATGTACATTGCTGTCACATTCACTTGGGTACATTTATCCTTCGTCCATTGTCTTCGCTACAGCTACACTTACCATACGCTGCCTGGGACACATTTGTTCTGGATTGGAACTACTCCCCTCCCTCCCTCATTTGACCAGGTGGTCTAATACAACCAGTCCATTGGTAAGGCCATGGAACCGTCGGATTTGGACTAGGTGGTGGACCGGCGGCTCCAGTTTCTTTTTTTCCAGCAGAACATTCATTTACAGTGCAATTATTTTTGATTTTTGAATCATTTTTATGGACACATATTTTTTTAGAATGCCTGACTGACAATAAAGAAACTGTGTTGAAACTGATATTGTTTTCTCTCTAAGAGTTCTAAGAAATCAATTACTGAAGCATAATAAGTAAATGAGAGTATGAAAATGACTGTATCTACTAACCTCAGTTTTGTGCAATACAAACCGAGGTGTAACTATCCTTGGAACAAGCATAAAGGTCCAAATATTTGAATCTTAATAAGGAAATACTTTCCCATGACTGTAGAGTAAAAAATTGGACTGTAAATGAATTATCCAGTGTTTGAGATATTAGTGTAGGCTCAAAATAAATACTGTATTATGCTGAGTGCATAGAAATATGCCTACACTCTCCTCCTACCAAAACCACTTCCCTTGATCATTTCTTCGAGCCACAACATAAGGTCACATCCTCAAGCAAGGCTGCAGGATTGAGTGCAGGAGCAGCCAAGGCCAAGCAAGTGCTGAGGCAAAATGGCCTCGTGAATACAACTACAGCCAATATCAACACCCTCACTGCCCCTCTTAATACCCCTATTCCAGTCCCAGACACTACTGGCCTTTCTCCATCGGAGAGAATATTCTCCATAGCCACCTGTATGGAATTTGGTCCCTGGATAGTTCTCCAGGAATTGAATTTTTCACATTCATGAATATGTGGCTTGAACTACAATGGACCTCTCACACCATGGTGTCAAGAAAGTGGGTGGAAGCCACCAATGAGTATAATGTGTGGCTTGAGACGATGGGAGCTACCTTTATCAAGAAAATTCTTTGTGCTTTGTTTGACAAGCTTGGGGCAATTGAAGCTAAGGTAGCGCAGAGAATTGCAACAGGGAATTTTAAGTGTAAGTAAAGGTTCTTCATTCTGTACTATGTACTAAACTAACAACTTCATTAGCTGCAAAAGGTAACAAGGATTTCTGGCAGAAACACTGTCATGCAATAGCCATGGCCAAGCCTGAGCAAGGAGGTACAGACCTCACCAAGCAGGTATATTATTCATGCTATACAATGCACTAACAAACCACACCACATGTACTTATCATGGCTTTCCAGCGAAAGATGCAGACCTGCTCACGCTGCCAAGTGACTAGGTACCCTGGGGGAACCGGATCCCAAGGCAAGAAAACCTTTTGCTCAGATGGTGTCAGGATTAAGGCGAGTAGTGGTTGCCCTCTAAATGAACACCCACCTTGGCCTCAGCCGAAGGAGTCTTCTCTCATGGCTTGTTCTTTCATCCCATTATGTTCCTATCAGCATTGCAAGAAATGTACCAGGAGACAATCATTTGGGGTGATGATGGCTCTTCTGACTGAACATTGGAGTATCACGCTTTTGCTGCCATGTTTGTCAAACGTCTCAAGACTGGACCTGAGGGTGGTTTTCTCTTTAGGCTGTACAATGGGTACACTCTCAGCCCACCAATGCCAGAAGCCATTGTCTAACTCGACGGGGAAACTTATCTTTGTGTTGACTGCCTTAGCAGTGCATCTAATAGTGAGGCCAATAATGACTAATTATTTTGCTCTACATACATACAGGCTACGCCTTTTTTTGTGCTCTTTTGTTGTACTCATTTTTACGGCCCCCATACCTATGCACCCCTTGTTTCTCATCTCCATGCCCCCCTTTCTTTCCCTTTTGTGCCCTACTATGCCTCCCTATTGCTGTTTTGTCTATCCTATGCTTCCCCAATCTGATTTTTCTCAATTCCTTCCATTTGGTTTGTGTGGTGTGGTGTTACTGGTTGTTAGAACTGTGGCCTCTTTGGAGTAGCAGAGCTGCGGAGTGTGGGGACGGAGTAACGGAGTACGGAGGACAAGGTGGGAATTGGCTTAGTTTGTGCACTAGGCCCTTCTGTGGACCTTGGTCCCTAACTCGTTGGAAATGGACAGAGCAGAGTAGAGGATAAAAGGGAGCAGAGTAAAGTGCCTTTGGAGAAGGATCAGAAAAGACTTAGAAAAGGACTGGTAGAAAGGCGAGGGAATCTAGTTGATATTTGAACTGCAGGAACGGAGTACATAGTACAGGAGCTACAACTTATATACTGTTGGAGGAGTAGGAGCTCATAAGGAGTAACTTGTAATGTAGGTATGGAGTTCCATGCGGACAATCATCTAGCGAGAGGGGAATGTATGTGCAAGGAGTGTATTATATTGTCTAAACTACAGAGTCCATGAGGAGTACTAGAATGTGTGAGGAGAAATGTATGGCAGACTAGAAGTCCAGTGCAGGAGTATTGCAGCAGACAACCAGAGTACCATGTGGAAATGGGGCGTAGAGTTATGCCAACCGGCAGACCACGAGGAACGTAATTCTGAGTATGCCGATGGTTCAGGAGTTTTGGGCTCAGAGAATATCTCCTTTGGAGATGCCAGAGTTCTGTCTTCTGGTATGGATATGACACTGGTTTTGTTGCTTGCGTTGTTGTCTCATCATTGTATAAATACATGATTAGTAAAAGAATACAGAGTTGCTTGCCTGATTTTGCTTACCTTTGTGTGAATTTTTCAAGCCAGGCCTGAGGCCTGGGGACTTAGTGAAAATTCACTGCAACAAAAAACTTGGAATGTGGGGTAAAATCAATCAGTCAACTCACGTGATCAATTAGTCTTTGAAAATCAATCAAATTGATTTGGTCACTAAAGCCTGCATATGGCGAAGTTGCCCTTTGAACTTTATTTACAACTGTACAGTACCTCATGTATTATAGTATATATACCTGAGCAATACATGGGGAAGGACTCAGCAAGTCCTCTTCTAGTGTATACCAACATTAGTATGACAAGTTCCCTCTCTTGATGAGTTGTACCATACCATTTATTCCTTGAGTTGTAGCCTTTGAGGTTGTGCTCCAGTGCCCCAAGATTGTATCTTGTTGGTGTTGTCACATGGGTTTTGTTTTCAAGGATCATAAAGCTGTTAGAACTACAACAATCATGCCTAGTATTAGATTACAGTACCTCCGACTTCATGATTACTAATACCACAGCCACAGCTTTGCTACATTTGTTGCATCACAGCTCTGACTACCTTAGCTCTCTGAGGCAGTCAGAACTGTGAGTATAGTTATTATGTTCCTGCATCATCTACAATACTGATCCTTCTGTAGATATCTCACTATATCTTAGACTGCCAGCTCACAAAAGCTTACCACCCCACAAACCACCAGAGCACCCACTGTTCTAGAAGGCCTAGCCCACAAACAAGTTCTGTGGAATCTGGGAGGATTGTTTGTTAGTTTGTTTTGTTTTGTGTGTGGTTTTCTAACAGGTGGTCTTCATCATCAGCACTGCCACCACCTCCCTCCCCACCATCACCACCACCTCTTCTCCACCATCACCACCACCTCTTCACCACCTCTACCACCATCACAGCATCACCACTACCACCTTCACAACCACCACCACCATCACCTCCTCCACCATACTGCCACCGCCTTCTCTCCGACACCACCACCACATCCTCCTCCACATCCTCCTCTACCACCACACCACCTGAGGGAGGGTCCAGACAATGTGTCAATGCATTGTTTGAGTGCTCCCTCAATGTAACGATCACGGGGAATGTCACACAAGTAGTAGGGGGAAAATGAGAGAGCTCTCGAGCGATCTGAATTCACAGTGTTAAGTCTACTATTGATTCTGAAAATGCTGCTCTCCTACTATGAGTACGAGGTCCTTATATACTGTAGGTAGGTTAGCTAAGAGGTCCATAATTTGATTATTAAATAACTAAAGAAACTAAATGAATGACTTATTCCTAGGGATAGCTGAGTTGACCGTAAAGGATAGTGTTAGAATATACTCTGACATACCAATACTCCATAGGATAATACCTCTGATTTGTAAGCCAGCCCAGTATGCAGCAGCTATTCTGTGTAAGACGTCCGTGGTTGCATGTCATGTTTAAGATCCTACATTGTATAACCTTGGCCATATAGCTCAATTGGTAGAGCAGCTGGCATGTATCCAGAAGGTTCCAGGTTCAATCCCTGGTCTGGTCAATATCCAATTTTATCAGATAGTGGATCTAGCTATGTATGCGAAGGGAGAGTGGGAAATTGACGAAGACTAGGTTCTGAGACAAGCGAGGCTATGTGACCAGCGTCACATCCGTTACACTCAAGCTTCCACCTCCCCACACCACACCACCACCACTGTCCATTCTGCACTTGCTATATATGGCAAGTGCAGGCGCTTTAACCAGTTTGGGGGTTCAAACTGGTTGGTTCAGTCCAGGTTCAGTCCGGTTCAACCCTTTTAAATCAAAGTTCAGTTCGGGGTTCGGACAAAAGCGTCTGAGAACAGAACAGAAATTTGCCATCCCTACATATTATGTACTACATATATACGATAGTTAAAGGTCACAGTTCTGACAGGATAGCAATGAAGGGGAAGACTGCAAAAAATTCACATTGTCCAGTTTTAAAATTAGTGGTGTTTGCTCATCTACAACTGTAACACTCAAAGATGAATATATCCACTCCCTTCGGCAGTGAACCCCTTGCAGTCAATTTCTGGAATGAATGGAGAAGATAACATGCGAAGAGTTTGACATGAACAAAACCATGATACCTTGCCAGAAGGAGGCTTTCCAATCCACTAGCATTGATAGTAGGGGCTATGACAGCGTCGACCCGTTCACCAAGAAGGTTAGCTTTTATTACCATTCTCATCTATAATCTCAAATTTATCGAGCACTGCCCTCTCCCACTCCTTTAGCCCATCTGCATCCTCGGCGCCCTCGTCCTCCGCCGCTTTCGTGAACACCTCCCACGCAATGCAGCCTTTTGCACCGTCCGCCTCTTCGTCTGGTGAGAGAGCAAATCGACTCTGACGCGATCGGGTGAGGGTGACAACGTGAGCAGCTGAGCCAAGTGCATGCCCCAAATCGTGAACTATGGACCGGACATATGTCCCGCCTGAAACACGCATGGTAAGGACAAAAGCAGAAGGCGTCTGCGTCTGTTTCTGAGCTTGCTCTTCCTCACTTGCTCTATCCAGCCCATCACCCAGAGTGGTCTCACGCTCTGGTTCGAGTCCATCTTTAGGCTCAGATGTGGGCTCGGGATCATTTCGAATGACAACGTCCTCCTGAACACTCCGCAGGGCTTTCTCCATCGCCTCTCTTTCTTTGTCCGTGAACTGCTTCTCAGGCCAAGTGAACTCGTGGTTGGGTCCTTTCCAGTCTGTGAGTGTGAGTGAATGTACCGTCACTTTTCGCTTTTCAATGGGTCGAGGGAGTGGGATTCCCTTTCGCGCGTATTCGTAGAGAGGTTTACCATCCATCTTGAGGGCAGAGAAGCTGTAGGGGAATGTTAGCACTGGGTTTAACGTGGAGGAAAGTAAGGTACAAGTTATAAGAATAAAAAGAGGGTGAAGGATGCTTACATAGGAGGTGTCTGGTATATCTCACCTCTGAAATTGACGAGCTGCTCCTCGACCGCTTCTTTGGTGACATGACGCCATGGAGCGACGCGGACACGGACGCCTTCGCTGTCATATGTGTCTGTTTCGCAACCTAGCAATACCGTAGTTTTGTATTCCTATGGTAATGTGAGTGTTTGATGAAGTAAACATACAATAGTAAGAGTTGATTGGAGAAACTGACAAGGATTTGTGTGCTTACCTTGATACAATCTAAGAAGTCGCCCAGTTTTTTAGTTCCTTTCCCCACTCCGACCACTACCAATCCACAACTTCGAGTCAGATGAAAATACAACGAGTAGACAAGATTCGGTTCATGAAATGCGATCGCGTAAAATATGAAAGCAATGAAAGACTGGAACAACATAATCGGAACAGATCTTACCCAGCACACCGTCTGCAAGTGGATCGAGCGTCCCTCCCTGGCCGATTTTGACCACTTCCCGTGCCCTTCTCCCTCTCTTTGGCGTCCTTCGCTTCTCTTCAAGCTTGGAAGCTTCGACGAAGAGGCGCGAGTTACATACAAGCTGCTTGACATCGTTGATCACAGACATGGATGTTGGCCCCGAAGGTTTGGCGATTGCGAAGAGACCAGATAACGGTAATGGAGGAAGGCTGATCTTGGGCATGTCTTTGGCTCTTACTTGGGTGAAATGTCGAGACGACCTGTCAGATCCAATGTATAACCTGCAACCTAGTACTTACTCCGACAATTAAGCGGGCACAAGTCAAAATGTACGGAAAACTTATTCAATTCGAATTCCTTACAAATCAAGGTGTACAGTTTATTTTGTTGGATAGGATATTTATCCTGATAACTGAGACAGCACTATTCGATTCTTGGCTTTCTAAGCTGTAAAATGATGCCAGTTATCAATCTCTTTGAAGCCCCTTACTCAAGTTTCTACATGCTTGAGTATGGTGACTTCATGCATTTGACCTCGTACACACAGCTTCAGAATTCATCACATTTCCGTGCCATAAAAGAGACAAAGAGGGAAAAATGCCAACAATTTTTTTTCTAGCACCTTTATGCAACAATCTAGCTTCGACCCTGCCTCCATTCACCAGTTTTAGCCAAAGCCTGCTTCCCAGCAAAGACAGTGGGGACTGCAAGCAGACTGCCGTATAACAAGACCTGTCCCAAATTGAGCTCGACCCAGTACCAGAATAGCAAAAGTTCAAATGCGCCAAGCAAGGTGGTAAAGGGAACAACACTCGGAGAGAACAAGTGAGGAACGCTCGGGCTGACTTTTGCCCACTAGATGGGGAGGGAAGTAGTTAGACAACAGAGCAATATACCGGGTTGTGAATATCTTACCAGACCGAGTAAAACAACCCACGGAGAGAGCACTAGGCACGCAAAGACAGCGGAAATCATAGTGGGAGGAAGTTTTTGTTCCGGATGGAAAGTGTGCTCTATGACGGGGCGGGTATGGAAAAACACCTCGTCCGCATGTTGTGGCGGGGGCTGCGAAGCAGGAATGTAAAGATCGAATAGCTCATATTTCACAGGTTCATGGACGAAAGAGCCCAGAATCAGAGTAACTTTCAACGGGTCGGTCGTGGTAGGCGGGATGGAGGCGGGCGGGCGTGCCATGTTCTACCACGCTTCGTTAAAGTTGGTGTAAGACAGCGCACTTATTTAGGTACTCACGAGCTCGAACTTTGCCTTGCCGCCAGGAGTTACTCGTATGGGCTGAATACCTTCTTCTCCTGATACCCCATCGTAAAACCTAAGGAAAGTCTGATGAGGCTGGACACCTTTTCCGCCCTCGCCCTCCTCTGTTATTTGGAAGGTAAGTTTGAAAGTATCAGATGATGAGAGCGTCAAAGGCTCGGGTTTTTGAGTTGTGGTAAACCTAACAGAAGCTGAGTATCCTACAATTGGTATGTGACACTGTAATCTGCTGTACTCACGTCTCAGTTCGGAGTGTAGTCGCATTGGAAGATGAAATTGTGAAACGAGGGGACTGAAGAGTCAGTTTTGCAGCCTGAACTGAAGCTGCAAGCAGCAGCCATGAGAATATCACGAACATGGTGAAGTACAGAGAAACAGTTGTGGCTGCGCGAAGCCAGCGTTACGCGACTGCTGGCGACGTGTCAACCTCAGCGGCGTTTCAGAATCCCACCCAACTATATAACACAAATTGTTCGATTCGAATTAACAAAAAAAAAAAAAGAGAGAGAGAGAGAAAACATGGCGGAATAAATAGCCAAAATGCAACTGCATACAAGCCAAGCCAGTAGGCAAAATATTAAAAAATGAGACCCCACCGTGGTTCGAACACGGGACCGCACGATCTGCAATCGTATGCTCTACCACTGAGCTATGGAGTCGTTGATGTCGGCGCCCAATGAGGTAATTCTTATTTCGGTGCACTCGGAGTCTGAAAGGTCCTGCACAACGCGGTCTTGCATAGACGCGTCACCGACCATTTACTTGAGTGACTATCTGCCCAATATGACTGACGTCGAAATGAAACCAGCAGAAGAAAAGAAGGAGGACAAGAAAGACGAAAAGAAAGACAACAAAGCAGAGAAGAAGGAAGAGATCAAACCAGTACCCCTTTCCCCAACTGCAGAAATCAAGTTCAATGTTACCCTCATCGAGAAGGCAGTCTCTACTCTGGAACCACGATTCACCCATCGCGTTTTGCGCTCGTTGATGACACTTCGCAAGCGCGTAACAGATAAAGTATTATGCGATGCTATCGAGGAAATCTATCCAAAAGGTATGGCGTGTGGCTTCACATACTGTCCTATGTTTCATTCGTTCTCGTACTCTAGATTCACCAGTAAAGGCAACCTTACTTGCCTGGATTCCTGTTACCACTGTAGCAGATATTTCTATGGACATCGATACCAGTGCAGCACCTCAGCCCCCGAAGCCCACCGTCGACCCTGTACATGAAGCTGAGATGTATATCCGTCTCCTCATCATTCACCATCTCCATACGTCTCCGAGCACGTATGGTAAATCGATAGAGCTTTCTCTGGAAAGTGTAGAGAAGATGCAAGCTCTTAACCGTCGAAGTATGGATCCCATCGCAGCCAAAATCTGGTTTGCAGTCGAGAGGTCGTATGAGTTGGGTGGTGAGTTAGCGGATGCTAGACCGTAAGTTAACAAGTTTCTTGTGCACGCAAAGTCTCATAAAAAGCCTAGGTTGTTCCTTGCCGCTCAACGCACTGCATCTCTGCGCCACGACGACGACACGCAAGCCTCTTTGATCAATCGGCTCCTGCGCAATTACGTGCACTATAACCTTTACGACCAAGCGGATAAACTAGTCTCAAAAACGACATTCCCAGTCTCTGCACCCAATTCGCAGTATGCCCGTTATCACTATTACCTTGGTCGGATCAAAGTCGTGCAGTTGAACTACACTGCAGCCCACACTAACCTACAACAGGCAATCAGACGTGCACCACCAGCGAAGACTGCTCCAGGCTTCTATCAAGCAATGCACAAATTTTTCGTTCTAGTGGAACTCCTCATGGGGGACATTCCTGATAGAAGCATTTTTAGGCATCCTGTGCTCGAGAAAGCCCTGAACGCATATTTCGAGATTGTGAAAGGTTAGTACTTACTTGAAATTCTAGAAATTCACTACAATGTCTTCTGGTTCATTACAGCTGTCCGCACCGGATCACTTTCGCAATTCCAGTCCACGCTCAATAAGCATGCGTCTCAATTTGAAGCTGATAAAACGTACACCCTAATTGTGCGTCTCCGACAAAACGTAATCAAGACTGGGATCCGACGACTGTCCTTGTCATACTCCCGTATATCGCTTCGAGACATTTGCTTGAAGCTCCACCTCGACTCCGAAGAGGATGCCGAGTATATCGTTGGTAAAGCTATACGAGATGGAGTAATTGAGGGCAGGATCGTTCACCAACAGGGATGGATGGAATGTGGCAGCCAAAAAGACGGATACGGTCCCGAAGTTAGCGAAATTTTCTCCAGGCGGATTGGATACTGCCTTGAACTGCATAACCAAAGTGTGAAGGTAAGTTCCGCAGCGTTTCTTCGCCCTTGCTCTATCGTGACACTGATAAACCGCTAACTACTACTACTAGGCTATGCGCTATCCACTTAACGCTCATCGGAAGGAGCTAGCAGCTGCGGAGGGAGCTAGAGAGCGGGAGAAGGAATTGGCTAAGGAAATACAAGAGGGCGATTTAGATGATGACGATCCTGCTGGCCTGGGTGAAGGATACTGATTGCTGTCCTGTGAGATACTTCTTCCATATTCTAGAAAGGTGATCACCACATGCTCCAAACTCCATGGCGTCGATGTATTTTCATGTAGAAATTTGAAGACCAGCCTTCCTAAGATTACTATTTACTGATGTCCGACTGTCACACTGCGTATACTGACTAGTCTTCCTTTCCGACAGTCACTGTAGCTTTAACTCTCATCCGTTCCGTTCGGAACGCAGTGAGGTTTATGTCACGTGCTTTCGGTCTCGCGGTGCACATTTTTTAACGACAGCGGGCGAAGACATGCTCCGCGTAACTGCTCCGTTCTCTCTGCTGTTTCGCAAATCCTGAAGCTGACATTGCATTTCAAGCGCAAAGATAGCGCCGAAACCAGTATCCGCTCTGCATCACCGGCCAAGTATTTTCACTAGATCTCTTATCGATGTCGCTGTTCGCGCGTCTCTGGCAGCGTATAGGAACTGGGGTAAGCCCCCCAAACCCGAATCACTACCGGTGTTGAGTTCTAACCAATGCATGCTCTGTCAATGGCATAGGCTCGTTTTGTAGGGAAAGACTTGGAAGGTTAGCGCCATTTGCGCTTCTTTATTTCTGTCCCCCGCAAATCAAGCACATGTCACTTCAGGAAATAAATTTTACGAGCGCCCTAGCTCGACAGATGGTATTCTTTCATTGTAGACCTGTGCCGAGCAGCGGTTGGTTGATTACAATGATAACAGATCCACTGAGGACAAAACGTTCGGTAAAATACAGAAATCCGGACGATATGTGGCATTACATAGGTGGAGGGAGGCGACTACCAGGTATATGGGCATGACATCAGTCCTGAAAACCCTTTCACATCTAATGTAGAATTGCGTCACAGTGCAGTGGTCAACGTGGTTAACGCACACTCGCCCTAACCCTCCAACCATAGAGGTAAGATTAGGTTTCGATGACGAATGCACTTGTCTTGACGCTTCTGGACTCGAGGAACTCCACTTTGACTTAGCACGCCAGCAACGTGTAGTCCTGAATGCTGCTATACTAGAAGCTAAGGATCGGGATGAGCGCGCAAGGACTGCCATAGGTCCAGAGGATCCCCCTACCCTACCTCACCTTGAAGATTCAAGGAGCCGCACCGAAATTCCGGAAGGACTGGGACGCTTAGACCCAGTTTCACAGGAGCCAACCCGTGTAAATCCTCCCCGTGCCCCCGGAAACGCCAAGGAGCATATGAAAGGTACGGAAGGCGTGTCAAGACCAAGACATCATGCAACCTCGGACGAGCCCCAGCCTTGGGTGCCGAAAAGTCGTGCTAGATAAAAACTGGTCCCCATTATGTGTTATACATTTATTTCTGGAAAGCTAGCTGACGGGGCGTCATCGGCAAGAATGTATACTTCTGATTATTAACAGCCTTTTTTTTTCTTTTTACAAGAGTGGCTAGTAAGCTTGACCTACTCATGGTGTCAAGCCGTCGACGTGGCAATCACTGGCTGCACCGACCGCGAGTACTGTAACTCCGGTAATATCGGTCACCTGTCACGGGCCGAGTCCGGTCACTAGTTGAAATCTTAAGACACAATTCAAGTTGGCAGGTTTGACAGGGCACAGCCGGCAATGGTCCCACCAATGCGACATCCAAAGGCAGTCTTTAGGCATGAGCCATCCATGTTTCACATAGCCCTCTCTACATGATGGTATCCGACCGGCATAATCAGATACTGACGCGCGTCGTGCGTGCACTTCACTTGCAACTAGGATAGATATACTATTATTGATTTGCCACAAAGTTGGGCTAGTGTTGTACAAAAAATGTAAGTTTAAACTTTTCTACTACAAGTGTGACCATTCATCTGGTTTAATTACCCCTCCAGGTGTGATAGATATCTCAGAAGTTTCTGTCGATCAACAAGCTTATCAAACCCCAAAGATTCATTTCCCATGTCATCAGTGATCCAAAATTAATTGGATGATGACTTAACGAGACCACGAAAATACTCATTTTGCACTGTGTATACACACAGCAAGATATCAAGCCGTACTTTTCCCAACTTGGATTGCACAAGGTCTCAAGGTTTCAACTCTCTAGCAACTAGCAAAAATCATTTTCAAGTGTTCGTCAAAACGTCGCAGGTTGCACAGTGTTTTGAGCGGTTTTTGTTCAGCTTCACCTATAAACATACACATCAAGAAGTGAGTTGTTCTATAGACTTTTCTACTAGGCCCTCCGAAATCGGGGAGCTTTCGATCCATCAAGAGAACATATTTCAATCTATCCTCATTCACAGACGATATTGCTTCTAGAAAACCTTCGCCGCGTGTCCAACAATCCAATCCATCCAAATATAATCAGTGTGGCAGAGGACATGATCCACACAGCAATCAGGTCGCTTGAGTCTACTCACAAATGCATCGATTTTTCCCATGCATGTGGGCCACTGTTCCGATTGCAGCCGCACTCATTGCTGGTAGCCCATCAGGTGATGATGGTTTAGAATCTTTGGATGTCTCACAGAGTTGTTGTTCTATATGAATGATAACCACAGCTCTCAGTATCCCCAAGACTACTTGTTGTATATCAAGTACATGGCCATCCAGGTCTGACACTGCAGCATAGCTCGGGCCAACTTTTCTGCCTACCAATCGGCGTTTTATGATAGCTACACCAAAATGTATGATCCCACAAGGCCTCTCAACCGACGTACCTCAGTACGTATGCTGTTGATTTTGAACACCGTGGACTAGGTTCCGGCGATATGACCACGGCATTCGCAGGTTAGAAAGATCTACAAAACTGAGGGCAGTGCACATTTTTATCGGTTTCGTTCTATTGTACCACGAACCTATACACTTCGGATGGAATAGTCTGAGGCCTGAACTTTATTATGGGAAAGGACTCATCATGATTAAACTAATACCAGCGTGGTGTAGTGTCTGCAACTATTTTTAGAAAGCGGTGCGGATCTTTTCCAGAAAAGCTGCTACAACATTTGAAGGCGCTCAGCGGCTGAGCGAGCTGATCAGACATCGCTCGGGGGGCAAGAACACCTGTGGTTATTAATCAGTCAACACCAACACTTGTGATTTTTTGCTTTATGGATTTCGATGCTGGGGCTGTCTTACAAGGGCAAAGGCATCGGCATCACTGTCTCACCAACGCACCAGCGTCTGTAGCCTGAGTTACCCACTTTTCTTTCGAAATCAGGTTCTCACTTGCAGGCTATGACACAAAAGCCTTATTACCGTGAAACTCCCTGGGATGAGAGTAGGAATGGAGGTGAAATAAAATTACATTGTAATTCTGACTTTTGACAACAGATTCTTTGACGACCGCTGAATATGATGCAATGCGGCAGTGTTTGTATGTAAAATTGCAACTGAAATACAAGGTAATTGTCATGACCTCCTTTAATTGTCTCTAATGCGTGATAATTCTATTCAGTCGAATCATGTCAGTTTTCCATATTCTTTTCACCTTGTAGCTGAGCTATTTTGAAGTTTTTCCGACGACATTTTGCCATTAGTCCATCGCGAGTTCCTCGATTTCCATGGGCGTCAGGGATGCCCGGCTGTGCTGTGGCCAAAGTGTTCACAATCATAGAAGCATTCCGCGATTACAACAGTATTTTTTCCCCTATTGGTGCACACCTTATGAGCGTGTATGGACACTGCAATGAGCTTTATATGGCTTCGCTCATGCCAACTAGTCCAGGTTACCGGACTGGTCCTCGCGAGGGGGAAATTCAGCATTGAATCTCAGAATTGCAACTTATTGGTATGTTCATGTTCACAAGGAACCCATTCAAAACTTTGGCATCTCACATCTTATGGTGACAATAGTAGGCTACAATACTGCCAATGTGGGAGTTTTGGCTATTCAAAGTATCGGCAATGGGGGTAGCTACGACGGACATTATCTAGCTCAATGTTCCTTACCTATTGTAGCACGTTTGGCATTATCCTGGATTAATTGTTGGTGCGCAATCATTCCTTTGGGACAAGGTGCGTGTTTTCACAGCAGTGTGACCTCACCTCACAGGTGTAATACAAATCTCAGCCTGAGTATGCTGTTTATCATATCCGAGACACGGACTCAGGCCAGAGGTATCTGCTGTAATATGGAGCCTTTCCTATGCCAGAGGTACGTACAATGCCTGCACACTGATTGACGCACACGTGTAACCCCTATTCCTTGTCCAGTATGGTTTCCTTCGTCCTTGCATTTTCGGCGGAGTGTTGGGCTATGAAAATGGAACGACATTGCCAGTGATAAACCCGTATCAATAGGAGGAAAATTGTCTATCAAAAAGGTGCCATACTTATCCATGTCTATGCCTTGAGTGTAACTATGGTAAATGTATTTGTGGGGATTCCTTCTAAGGACTACTAAACACACTTTTGGTTTGCTGCGGCTGTTGTGCTAACTTACTAAGGCACCTTTTGCCATGGAAACGATTCAAATATTTTCTCAAGTAGGCTCGCTGATACTTGATTGACACGATGAATTGTATGAAAGAATCAAAACAAAGGCCTAGGATCCATCCATTGTACTGCAACTTGAAGAGCGCCCAAAAAGTTTTGGCGCTGAATGCATAATCTTCGCACGAAAATGGAATCTCAGATCTCAGCAAACAAAATTCAAGATATAGCCTCAACTCTCCTCTTAAATAAAAACTCGAGTACAACAATTATAAGTACACTGCATCGAATCGATCTTTGGTCGTACACAAATTCCCAAAAAATATCATGATGACTCAAGTTTTAGGATTGAATGTAGAGTATGTCCTCCGTTTCTTACTACTTTTTTCGATGCAGCCAGTGAGTGCTGAAAGTTTAAATGTCATAAATAAGGACGCACGGGGTGCCTGGTTGGACTGCTGGGGTCTGTGGCTGTGGGGCAGAGCTGCATCGAGCTTCATATAATATGAATTCTGAACGAAAGTTGAGCTAACGCACCTCTCTTGCTTCCCTTTGTTGGGTGGCTTTGGTGCAGGTGGCTTTGGTGCAGCTGCCTTTGTTCTATTGTTTGGACCACGACGACGATAGGCGTTGCTATTATCGGGCTTGAATTTCTGAGGCAAGCCCACATCAAAAATTTCCTCACCGGCTGGTTTGTGCTCGATCGCTACAGGAGCCAAACGAGTCTGATTCTAAGTCGGAACCGGATGTTTGGTCGTCACTGCCACTGCCACTGCCACTACGTTTCAATTTTTGTTCTTTAGAAACGTCCGTAATGGACCTGAACTAAAGTGAGCTGATCACGGTTTAGCTGAAATTGGGGGCAGAGTACCTAGAGGCAGCTCCTTCTGGTTTTTGGGAAGACATCATACAATGAGAGTAGGTGTTGGTTTGCTTTGGCGCTGCAGGGAAAGCATCTTATAAGATGTGATAAGGAGAAACTGGCGCGTTCCGAATTAAAGCCTCCTGGCGCCTGTAGTTGATCTGTTCCCAACTTGGACATGCTTCTTAGGCGCTTGAGCGCTTGAGCAATGATTATCAGGCGCTTCATGATAAGTATGTCCTTATTCTGGAAGGAAGAACCCTGAGCTTATACCAGGCTACTACTCCAGTCAATCACTCATAGACGCATACTGGATCCGCATCGGTGGACGACGCTGAGCGTCAATGCACACATGTAACCCCTATCCACTATCCAGTATGGTTTTCTTTGTCTTTGCATTGGTTATTCTTTCCAGCATCGCCAGTCGCGTTCCCATGAACTTTACAGTAGCCATATCAATGCTTTATCGCATGGTAGTGCATATCACAAAGAACACAATGTTACTAGAACTGCTAAACGATGCATGACATCAGACGCGTACTGCTCAGGTAGGGTGGGGAAGTTACTGCAAGTGATTGTGAGCGCTATGGAAATGGAAGGACATTGCCAATGATAAACGTCGATAAACTCCCCCAACGGCATGTTGATCTCACACATCAATTGAGGACAGCTGATTATCGAAAAAACCTGTACCTATGCCCATCTGCACTTTGTATTTAACTACTGTCGTTAACCGTCAGTTCGGATGGGTAAGGTACTGCAATCTCAGTCTCAAAAAGTTCAGGTGCGCCACACTCAAAATCATGTTCAAACAGTGATAGTGCCGAGCGGAGCTCTAACTCGGCTTGTGTGACCTCTGTGACGTCCGAATAGCCCCCCCCCGCCCCCATCTGAGCTGACGGTTAACGACAGTATAGGAAATATATCATTCTACTTTTATTCTCAGCGACTGTTATGCATCAAGTCCATTTCCCCCTCAGACAAACTCACTGATCTTTGATTTACGGACTAGGTATAAGAAAACAAAGGCCGGGAGCAAGGACATAGGATGCATGTATTGTACACAAGCTGCTAGTAGTTAATATTCATACCAAACTGGCGGTCACGGTTGACAAACAAAATCTGATGCTACTCTTGATAAACACTCAACTACAACAACCTTTAGCTTGCTATGAATACACCTTTGGTTGGAAGACATCCCCAGAGTAACATCGTCGACGTCATTTTTTGCTTGGAGGATCGTGTAGAGGATATCTATTCTGTTTCTTATCAGTCGTATCAGTTTTTCTGATATGGCCCAGTGAGCGCTGGAAGCCTATATTCGACAAATAAAAACGTACCCGGCGTTCTTGTTTGTTTGGGTCTGTGTGGAACGGCTGCCAAGAATGCGAGTGATCAGACTGTACACCGACCTTGATGGTACTTGATTCAACGCACATATTTTTGTCCTTTGCCTTGTCTTTGCCTTCGACTTCCAAGTCAGGAGCTGTACTCTTTTGAGACGTTGGTGGTCCACGACGGCGAAATTCATGGCTATTTTCGGGCGAAATTCAGAGGCAATGCTCTATAAAAAAGATGGGGGGAATATACAAACCCCTGAGCCCTAGCAGGTTTTCCGAGTACTTAGATTGCAAAAAACAGTAAGCATCGTAAATAGCTCACGAGCGAGAACTACGTCCATTACTATAGTCGGTGTCTGTGCCGGAATCGTTGGATGCTTGGTCGTCACTGTGAATGTCACTGTTTGGTTCTACAGCAAGATCCATTTCGGACCTATACTAGCAGTGAGTCCACTGTGGAGAAGCTGCAATTTGAGCCAAAGTACCTGGAAGGGGTAGCCTCTGGCTCTATAGATGGCGTCATCCTAGGAGAGTAGGTGATAGTGATGGTAAGCGTTGGTTGGCAGGCATCTTATAGGATGGTAAAGATAAGCAGAGAGTAGCGCTGCTGTATGCATCTGGTGCTCCTCCACTTGACGCTCCTCGATCAAATTTTCTGGCGCCTTTCATTGGGAAGAGATTTCTCAAGTGTTGCTTCCTGAGGCGCTTGAGCGATAGGGATATGACAGCATGTAGTTTGTTTTGAATGAGATTCTTGAAAGGTCTAATAAGGAATGTTATTTCCCTACCCGACAGGTTGTCGAATGCGGCCATTTAACTATTTGCTAGTGACAGTTCAAAAAGGTACATTGCAAGTACTCATAGTATATCTCTCAAGGTGGATCTTTTCCGATGAATTATGCACCTTTCAAACCCATCTCGGATTGAAGAATTAAGAGGTGGTTGTCTCGTCCCGCATTTCTTTACACGTCAAACCTGTGAGCACCGAGTATGTAACGTCTCGTAGGGCCGGAACAGTTGTGAACGGTCTGCTTATAGGATACTATATCGAATCACCGTAAAAAGGCGGTGAATCGTATTCCAGAAGGCGCTGTGTTGTTCTCCACATCGTTCCGACACGGTGTGTATTAAGAACCTGCCGCGGCGGCTATAGCTAATATAGGCTGTGTTTCAGTGTTCCACTGAATCACTGCACTGCCGATCGAAATCGGTCTTTCAATTCTACGACCATGTGCGTACAACAGCCGTGCATAATGGGACTATGGCGGTATATATAATATAAGTACGCAAGTCTTCCACTGGCATCGACGCTTTCTAACTTACAATGTCGCAGGACCTCCAGACAAAATCTGACTCGGATATTTCTATCAGTACATCCCCCAGAGTCCTTACTTGTCCAGACACAAACACGTGTTACTTGAAGCTTAATCCGACTACTTCTTTGTGCACTGGGAGGTATGCGAAAACGGAAACGTGCGTTCGATGATTGATATAACCTTTTTCCTATGCTGAAAAACATGTTGCTTCACAGTGTGGAACCTAGTCATACCACTGTAACCCCGGGCCTCTCAACCAAGTAACTATTGATCCTTTGCCAAAGTCTTTTCTAGGTGGCTTATTGAAACTGCATTCTAGGACTGCCTCATTACCCCCCACTTGGTCATCGTTTATTCACCCCGAAGGACAGCGATATTATTATTGTGATGGCTTGAAACTCCGCGTCGTGACCGAAGAAAACATGGACGACCCGCATGTAGCTACGGCTGTATCATTCTGCGTGAAATGGATAGAGGACACTCTGTGGCAAAGAAACATAGAGCTGCCAGACTCTGCGGAGCTTTTCCTTCAACTAGAAGATACCCAAGAGAACTCATGCAGCTATTATTTCGTGGACCATGCATCTCGCACAGAATTTTGGATTGACAAGATGGACACCGAGTCACTGGATATGGATCCAGTAGTCTCAGCTTCGCACCTGAGTTTGTTTTTACAAATTATCTGAACTAAATTTTTTGCTTACTTCTCTTCAGATCTAGCACTGGAGAAACTATATTGGACACATGTTGAATTCTTCCCCATGCACTTGGAATCTCGTCTACCAAAAGAAATCGTTGATAGTATCATTGATGTTTTTTCACACGGTCAAGCCGGTAAGGTGACTGCTATCCAGTTGGTTTTCATTCAACTGAAACAATCCATTCAAAGACCGCATGTCGTCCGATTCCTCGACTTTTCCATATACCACAGATCAATGCGCACAACTTTTAGTGCTATTAAACAGCAGGCAAGGTATGACCCGTGTTTGATTGCCTCTTTCCGACTTAGCTCATTTGTCAACGCTTTCGTTTGATAGGTCACAATCTGAACGGATACACTATCTGTTTCGTGGGTAAGTGCTTCAAGGAACGCTATTTATTTAGTATTGCCGCTGATAACTGTTTTTAGCACGCCTATGGAACGCTATCTGTGAGTATAACAATATGCACTTTATGTCCGGATTACTCACTTTTCATTTAGGTCATCATCGATTTACCAGCTATTATGGTCAGGATGTTGCACAACTAGATAGAGAACAAGCCATGCTACCATCAGACACCCCTGACCATCACTGGCTGACCACTGCTTGCGATTGGATGCTGTGGAACATGCCCAGTTTTCATATAGAAAAACTCAATAAGCTTTTCGTCGATAACCAAGTGTATGTAGACCAGTGGTGCCTCGTCATATCTGCATGTTTGAGTGGTTGGAGCTCAACATTGTCACGGGTACGCTACTCCTTTTAGGATTTGGGAAGTGTGGACTAAAGCAGATATTTTGTTCCACGCAGGTTTCCTTGGCACTCATGTGAGTTTGACGGTGTTTTGCAATTAATATCTCATTTCTCTAAACACTCATCTTCTAGCGCCGATATCCTACTTTGCATGGTACCAGGAGCATCCATGACGCTGGCACTCTTATCAATAGTGGCATGTTGTGCCAGTATCACATCGGGATCTGTACTTCTTTTACGACACCAAGGCCTCGCGGAGGCTAGCGCGTCTACAGCTGTAGGTTTAATATCGAAGCTCACAGTGCTGCGCAATCAGCTCATGCATCACCATTCAGGCAATTTATCTCCGAGATGCAAAGTCGAAGACGTATGGCTTCCTTCCTTCCGCAGTCATTTTTAGCCTACCCAATGCCCTCTACATGTGGAGCCTTGGCTTTCTCGCCGTTCACGTTATCTTTCTTATGTCTCATTTCTTCAACGCCGGGGTTGTCATCGCTGTTATCTTCCTAATGGTTAGCATGGTCTGTGCAATTTTACGTTTCACCTCTCCGGATCAAGATTCCTCGTCACTCAGCCAGCTTCTCAAACCATGGTCGTGGTTCCAGAGGGTCCTTCAACAAGAATGTAGTATTGTATAAAAGTATAAAAACAAATAATCTGTAGCTTGTACTCTTGTTAATAATATTCTATCCACCTCCGAGGCTACTTTCGCTGCGGTTTGAAGGCGTTCGTGATGTAAATGTTGGCGGAGGAGGTAAAAGTGTATTTTCTTTCATTATTCGAGCCTCTCGTGCATGAGCTTGCCGCACGTAAGCGTACCTCTGGAAATGGTTGAGTGCTTGCAAAAATATAACTCCGACCTATGACAAAAAAAGGGAGGGGTCATGTCCGTGTCAGACTTGGGTGAATGAGAACCATCCGAAACTTACAGGGTATCGGCGTAACATGTCTAATATGTCAACAGTCGTATCTCGTATTGACTCTTGCTGATGGAAAAGACAAAAGCTCAGCGGCTGCAGACCACCCGTGTGAGGTGGAGCATAAGCCAGAAGCTACAAATAAAACTAATCATTACTATCGCGGGAGTAGATAAGGCAGGTGGACTCCTGACCTCGACGACCTGGTCATATGACCGCATGTTTTCAGATATCGTGCGCACAATTAGTTCTACCTCAGCGTCTGCGATACTTTTAGCCTGACGAAGTCGAAACATCTGATGTAGAAGGTCGAATCCTTGAATAGCATTTGTAGATTGTGATTTCCTGAAATCCTGTAACGTATTAATGTATTGAATGTAGTGTCACCAATCAAAAACAGACGCGCTTACCGCAACACAATACTGGTAAGATTGAGTTCTGCGCCAGCCCTCTATACGAGCGGCATTGGAAACAAGCTCCTTGTTACCAGACGCCTCATCAGGGAAAAAAATTCCGCTACCAAGGTGTCCATCCTTAAAAGGGGTACAGGTATAACTGACTTGGGTTGATCCAAGTGCGATCTCCTCGTAGCGCGCAGCGAGACGCACGAAACGCGCTATATACTCTGTAAACCGCATTCGGACCAGCTTCTCTCCAAAGTGATAAGTAATGGCAGAAATAACCTGTAGATAAGACAAAACACATTTAGCCAACTGCCCATTTTGACATCTTTAAATGAATAAGGGTCGCTACTAACGTCCTCGATAAATATATTGTCCAGGCTGTCACCTTTCGCGGAGTAGTCGGCCTTTTGGGCTTCTTTGCCATCCCTAGTAGCTATTCGAGCGATATCGTCTTCGCTTCCCACTGAAGATTCAGCTTTAATTGTGCCTGACCGCGTCACCAGAGGAATAATAGCTGGGGGTGTAGTGGTAGGTGGGAACGATGTAAGGATATCTTTTGAGACAACTACTCGGCCAGTTCCAATATCCATAAGAAGGTCCCAAGAACCTGACGACTCAAATATTGGGTTTGTTACACCTGCTATGTAGGCTGGGCTGTTATATGAATAAAAGGTTCAATCATCGTCACCAGACACAGATATCAGTATATATCGAATCAGATGAAGCTGGGCACTAACGTTGATTCCCACTCCTCCCCTCCTGCCAAGCCAGCATACGGAAACGCGCGCTCAATAAATCCCCTCAGTATAGCTCCACACCCTGAGCCAAGGGCACACGCAGACAAGACATAACTAGCCACCTGCCCTGCAGGTATATTATGGCCCAAAAAGAGCACACGTTTACCGGTCACGAGGGCATTGAACAAGATAATGATAGGGTGAGTGAGGCTGCCGTTGGTATGAAGGTGTGGGTGCAGCGGTCCAGAGACGCTCACGATGGGGGAGGAAAATGTTTGAATTAACTGGATTAGTGAATACTGTGATAGAGTCCTGGGTCAGTAACACGCCATGCGTAGTCATTGGTTTGAGGATGTAACTTACATCTCCCACTTCCTCTGGGAAAGTGGACAAAGGGATTTTAATGGGTAACTGATGTCCTTTGTAGACAATAGTAGTCTGATAAAAATGGGTATCTTTGGAAATGCCAGAACGAAGATGGGAGTCATAAGCGGTTGGAATAGTCCCAACGTGTGTGTTGTTCTCTCTCCCTGGTGGTGCATGGGATGAGGATGATGAGGCGTCAGTTGACTTTCGCCCGCGACTGGCCAAGGTACTACTCCCTCCTGAAATGATACTACCAGGATCACCCCCAATAGCGACCCCAACTTGACTATCCAGTACACTCTCATCTCCAACCCACACTGCGCTTCCTCCGAGTGAGAAAGAGGTATCAGAAGGTGGCGTTACACTTCTGTGTGGAATACTTTTTGAGCTGCTGTGAGTTCCTGAGCGTGCCCGGCTGCTAGCGATGGGTTCTCGATTTCGCGGGATGGTTCCTTCCTCGAAGCTCGAATGCGAACTAGGAGAAGAATCTGTTTTATGTTGTTGCTTCGGGCGACTACCATTGGACCAATTTGCGGCAGCATCCATAGTCGGCCTATATTGTGCAAGCTTCTCTGCGAATATGTCCTTCCGTTCTGTGGCTCGCATCACGAGTTTCTCTGCGCGAGTCAAGGTAGGCGCAGCCATTATATCCATGAAATTTATGGCATCAAAAAGACGTGCGAGGCAATCTTGAGACGGATGTGAAAAGTAGTCATCGAGTGCAAGAAGAAGAACTGGCTAGAGACGGGGTATCCGGGTCTCAGATAGCTATTTTCAAGGTCAATTAGTAGAATCGGGATAGCTTACCTTGAATATCTGGATAAATGGATGTCGAGTACAGATGGCCATAGCCTTAACAACAGCACCTCTGTAGTAGAAATGGTTAGTTGCATACGCTAGTGCATGGCTGAGGTGAGACAGCTAAAAGTGGACGCGTACCTTCTTACTGACTTATCGTGTTTTGTTCTCACTAAATTCAAGACATACAGAAGCTCGGGCTGGCTTCCGTCACGACTCTGTTTGTCTCCGTTCGGTTCTGGTGTTTCGAGGGCAAGCACGGGGGCTATGGTGTTGAATGGTGTCTGGTTTAGGAAGAAGATTGTCCAATCTTCTAGATGTCTTTCTGCTCCATCAGGAAGCATCAAGTTTGCGAGTAGCCTGGGGAATAAAACTTGTTAAACAAAAGCTGAATGAGATATAGTGAGCTGGGTCATACCCTTCATCTGTCCCAAGGGGTTGCGGAAACTGATATGTGAGTTGGGCGCCGCTATCAATGTCAAATTCGGCGAGGAGGACGAAGGAGCAGTGTTGGCCCTTGCCGGTCATGGTGGTGTGGTGGATGTGGAGAAAGGATATGGATATCGTAGAAAAGATCACGCTCGGACAAGAGTTCACCAAAGAAACATAGTTCGAAGACAGAAAAATATCACAGCGCTGCACTGGTTCAGCTTCAAAGTTCAAACAGACAAGCTTTGCCCGACAACGCGAGAATGGTGGACGGTGCTATTATGAATTTCCTTTTTTGGACCTGCACATACAGCAGCGACGAACATGACATTCAAGCATCTAGACACCGCGATGGCTATCTCCAATAGTAAACTATATACAGGCATTCCTACTTAGATGGAGATGCCAGCAATGTTTGCAACCGCGCTGTTGATCACTTCGAATAATGCACGCAGACGGTCACGGGTGCACTCTGGATAAGAAAGGGTGTAATGTGTTAATCATACATAGCAACCTGGGTGATGGCAGAAGCAGCAATTTGCAGAATATTCGCATACCGAAAAAAGACATGAGGGAAACTGGGTGAGACGACCTGCCTTGCTCTCTCTGCACTTCAAGCAATGAGTCAATTCTCTTCTCGATCGTCTCCTCTGTCGTGGTCCGCTCGTGGACTGTCCTGGCGACCGCCCAGGTGTGGGCATTTATAGATGCAGCCAGAAGCGCACTCCTAAGCTCTGAGATGCTAAATGTTAGCCACTAAATATGGTAATTCAGACCTCAAGGATAACCAGGAGCACTGGCTCCGCACAACTGAGCTCCAGGACTGCATACATACGCATATAGTCACCGCACCCCCCTTAAAAAGTGACCAACAACGTCACCTTCATACTCACTTCGCTGGAAAGCATCATCTCTCTGACTTTGTTCTCGAAAGGGGTCTGCAATGAAGGCAGCGTAGTCAAACGTCTTGCACGCCGTGTCGAGTTTTTGTTCAACGTTCTGACTCTTGTCTGGGGATCGGTCATCTGAATGTTGTTCATCCTCCCTGTCGCCGTCGTGTAACATAGCAGTTGGACTCGGAACTGGTTGGTTTTCCATACGAACAAGGTAAGGAAGAGGAAATGAGGTTCGATAGGACAGAAAGACAGAACGATGTGCGCTAAAACTCCCACTCTACAAATATTAGACGTGTTTAAGCACGTGACAGCTTTAGTATTTAGAGCCGATTCATCTCTCCAAGAAACACGACTTTGAGTTGAAGAATGATGCGAATGAAGATTGAATGACGTCGTTTACACAATACTAACCTAGCCTATCTCACAGTCACCGAGGAGCAGGTAACCCAGATGACACAGCTCCTATTTCTGTCAGCTCCGTGAGTGGATCCAGTTTTCCCATGAAATCGGGTAAGAAGGAAGCATCAGTGTACGGGCAGTGCACCGCTGGCGACCCCTTAAAGATCGGTGTATAAGTTGCGGCACATATCTCGAACTCAGTGAATTCGTCATATGATATTTCCACCGCATTTCGAGGGTTGCGGTCTCCTGCAGCAATGCGTTGCCGTGCCTACGGGAACCATCAATACAACCAGTTACAGATAAGGGTACCATAGACAAACCTGCGCAACAATTTTTGGATCTGGATTCAAATCCAAGAGACGCCTCGCAAACTTGGCTGCCGTGGCATGGTTATTCGCTTTGGCAAAGACACCGATAGCACTGCGCAGGGCAATCTGCATGTGCGGGGGTTGCAGCTTGCAGTGTGCAAAGTAGGCAGCTAACTCGAGACTTCTACGGACGTTCTCAGGCTCGTGTTGAGCTACCCGTCGTCTTTCCAGCTCGATTGAGACGCCAAGTAGATATTCCCGCGCAGCGGTAACGGTGTCGCGCCACTAAAGATACCGGTTAGACTAATAGTTTCCAGAAGTGTGACAGAATATATACCTCTTTAGCTTCGTTATCTGATGAAACGACAACAAGTAACAGCGCCTGCAAAACAGAACGGAAAGTTGTCTGTGCTTCTGGAAGCTTGTTTCCCGATACGAAACGATAGCCTTCTGATAATTCGCTGCGTATAGACTGTAAAGAACGAGCGGCCACAGGCAGTACTCGTCCAGGCGAGGACTCTGATGGGTTGCGTCTCACATGTAGTTGGAGAGGAGGTAACGAGGCAATAGGAGACAAATACGCATGCGATGAGCGATAGATAGACAGGAATAGTGGTTTGAGCAGAGCGAAATTAACAATGCCTAATTGGCGGTTCAGGAGCTAGGTTGCTGTTAGCATAAGTACACCAAACCACGACAATCAACTCACTTGCATGGCGGTGTCGAATGAGCCAGCTGCTACGTGATCTGCAGCAAATGGAGAGTTTCGGACCCAGAGCTCGGTTTCGCTTACACCAGGTGCAGCACCAGCTCCAAGGTCCTGATCAACGATGGCTTCATCTTCATCCTCTACATGCTTATTCTCCGCTTCTGTGCCATCCACATCAAGCTCCCATCCGCCTTCTTCAGGGTCGATATCGTCATGAATTTCTTCCTCTTTGGCCCACGCATCAAGAGCAGACGACGCAGCCGCACCGTTTGTATCAAAGCCATTGACGTGAGGAATGTCACCATCTGATTCCAGGCTTCCATTGGCCATCGCACGGTCGAAGAAACTTTCGCCACTAGCGACTATGGGCCAGGTGAGGGTAGTGGTGGGAGTAACGATGGGAGGTGGTTTTAACGTGGAGGTACCATATGAAGGGACATCATCGATATCTGCGTCAGTCAAACCAGCATCCTCTAAAATCTCATTAGCCAACTCATCCAGACCATTCGTTTTGGCAGTAAGATATGCCAGAGGGTCTAAAGGGCGCATATAACTATCAGTCTTTGAGAATGTTCCTGATTATGATGGAAACGCTCACAAAGACCAACATCTCGAAGGACCGTAACTCGGCCATGTACATCTCCAGCGTACAATGCGTTGTGAAATTTAGACATGGGATCACCTCTCGCGTCAGCAATCTTTTGCATTTTCGACAACTTGTCGGTACTCCCAGTAGCAAGATACAAGAAGGACAAGCGATCGAAGTTTTTCGTCTGCTGATAGGCCTTCTCAACAATCTAATAGAAAACACAGTCAGACGGCATGTACGGTTAGATATCCAAAGGAATAAAATAGACTGACCGCGTGATTACCTTGAGTAAGAGCTTGCTGAGCCAGACGATCCCAGCACTCTGGCCGGTCGATAGCTTTGGCGGTCTCTAACGCGACATCAAGGTTACCGCATTCAATGGCCAGATCGAAACGAGTGTTCTTGTCTTGGACAAAATGAAGTGCAATCTAAGTTTTGGGTGAGAGCCTGGGGGATATGTAGGCAAAAAAGGAAATACCTCGGGGAAACCTTTTTGCTGCAGGTACGCTATAATGCTTTGACCCAGCAAAGTTGAAGTTCGAATGATATGCAACATTTCCTCGTAATTATTGCGCAACAAAGCAAGTTTGAAACGATATTCTGTCGGATCAAACGTAATAGTCCGTGGTCGCGCTGAGCGATCCAGGCAATGGACCGTCTTGCCCTTGATCCGCGTCAAGTAAACAGGATTGTCGAGGGTACAGATAACACCGTGGTCACTAAACGAGTGATTAGGATTTAGTAGCATGATCGATCCAAAAAAAATGATAATATACACACCCTTGGGGAAGACAGTATTTTATGTGATTGAGCGTAGAGTAAATAAAGACGCCAGCATCATCCCATGCCCCTGACTTTATGCGGATAGTCTCGTGTATAAGACTATTTTGCGAGAAAGTCTTATTGGCAATGGTGATTGCTGGGGGGAAACACAGTTATTAGAAGAACTACGTGAATAATTAGTATAGATGACTCACTGTGTTTGCTCATTAATGCCACCAATTGTCCGTCTGCACTCCAGACTACATATTTCACGGGGGGGCTATTAAGATCAGCTATTGTCTTCTGTTGTTGAATATCGTATAATACTACTGAAGTTGTAGAGCTCAGGATCAAACTAGCGGTTCCTCCGTAGAATATTTCATTAGTTTGAACGGGAGGCTTAATGGTCTTGACAACCGAATTTGACAGGTCGCGAACCTCGATGAGCTATGTAAAGTGTAAAGCAATGTAACACTTGAACACTTTTCAAGAGCGTGGAAGCAAACGCTTACCTGGGTGGTCTTGTTCAATGCTGCGAACCTATTTCTAGCCACGAAGATGGCGCTGTGGGCAGTACCTCGTTTCCCATCGACAGAGGAATCTTTCACTTCCCCAATAGCTTGGGTAGGAAGTGAAGCCAACTCGAATAGCCCATTATCGGAGGATATGGTTGCAATGACAGCGCGTTCAGCGGGATTGAAACTTAACGTCCTTGGTGGAACATATGGGCTCCCAAATTTGCGCACGCTGAGTAACCCGATATCTGATCCAGAGTTGAAGTCGTAGGCACGGACATATTTGTCGCGGATATAGTATAAGGAATCAGCATGGACTGCAAAAGCTGGACGTTCACGTTCCAGTTTGAATACGATAAGACCATTATCGTGTCCTATATACCAGGAAGTCAACAAATAATGGTTTCAGTATCCCGGGAGAAACACACCAGCAGCAAAAAGATTAAGTTGAGGGTGAGCAGCCAAAACCCAGAACCGATCGTGCTCTCTCCTGAAAGTTTGAATAGCGGTCCTTTTAGCCAGATCCCAAACGCGAACAGTCTTGTCTTCTCCACATGAGACAATTAGTTCATGTTTGGGGTGGAAAACTGCACTGGATACGTTGTTGAAATGTCCCCTGCAAGAGTCGACTTCCCACGCTTTCGTTTCGCTCATTCTCCATATTTTGATGGTACGATCATCAGCCGCAGAAATAATCAAAGGAAGAGTAGGGTGGAATGTTGCAAAGTTTACTCCTCGGTCGTGTCCTTCCAGTACGTACTTGACGGTAGAGAATGTATCAAACGTTTCAAAATTACCGGGTGCAGTGTTGGGCGTATTTTTACGCAGACCAGATATATCCCATACGCGTACAGTCTGGTCCATGGAAGTTGACACAATGAGGTCTTCCTTAGGATGGAACTGAGCAGACATCACGTAGTGCGAGTGTCCAGTCAAAATCGCAATGCAATTACGAGAAGTACTGTTCCATATGCGAATAGTTTGATCATCAGAAGACGAGAGCTGGAAGCGAATCAATATCAATACTATTGCCACATATCTTGATCACTCACAATCCAGGGCATTTCATGATGAAATTGGACGGTGCGGACGTAGTCTAAGTGACCATGTAATGTGAAGAGGCACCGTCTGCTCTGAGGTTTGAGATCTACGCGAGGTCAGATAGAAAAAGAAACTTGAAATCCACGCGACTCACCCCAGACTTTGATCTTATAGTCGTCCCCTCCAGTCACTAACAGTGCTCTGCTCGGATGAATGGCGACCGCTCGGACAGGACCTGTAACGGATTCTCGTCGTGATATCTTCACAACAATACCAAGGAATGTTACCTTCATGTTCCTCGAATCTGTCTACCAAGACACCCATCCGGTAATTCCAGAGTTGCACGCTGCCATTGTGTAATGCGGCTGCAAGTAGTGGTTGAGTAGGATGAAACGCGAGCCCTGAGATAGTAATATGTCAAATAAGAACTTCTGATCTGCGAATACTGCACATACCCTTTACACGATTACTTTTGGACTCGAATTTTGTGAGCATAACCGACATCTTGGGAATGTGCAAAGCTGGCCCTTCGACGGTAATATTTTTTGTTATTGAGTGTTCTAACCAGTGCTGTACAAAAAATGGGCTCGCAAGCTAGAACGCCAGTGTATCGGTCGAGGTGAAAGGAAAGAGTCCTGTAGTCGTTTGTATACCGTGCGCTATGTGCACAGGCAGAACGGGCACGACGTGGCTGCAGCAGCGGAGTTGGAAAAAATCGAGAGATTATGAGTGGCACAAGTTACCGTAAACGTTGGAACTACACTGGCAACTCTTTGCGTATCGTTTTCATATATATGGACAACACTTGAAGTAAATTATAGGATATATAGAATTTTCAAGGCTCAGTACTAGAAATCATCGTCTATGGGCGTTTTGGGTCTGACACCATTCCTACAAAAGACCTGGTAAATCACTGCTAATGCTGTGCTTCGTTGGGTTCCTGATTTCACCATTGTCATTTAGCCCAGAAGTAATCAGAAAACTTCCAGATCGTCTCAGGTCGTTGCGGGGCAAGACCATAGTCATGTAACGTTTCTCATTGCCAGAATCACCGTAGCCTTCCTCATGATTCATAGTGACGGCACTCTCATAACTCAACGGTTCCACTTCGCACCCATCCCCCACCAACATAGGCATGTTTTGGGATGGCATCGTATGGTTACAGAGCTCAAAGAATGCGGGGTGAAAGCCATCTGTGTCTTCGATGGTAAAGAGCGCAATGCAGCTAAAGCCCGGGAGGTAAGTGACTTCGTTGCAGGATATCCTAATGCATTAACATAATCTAAAGGACTGTTAGGTTGAAAGAAGGAGGGAAGTACGGAAATTGGATGCTGCCCGTGGTTCCATCGAGGTCGAGAGACTCAGTAGACTCCGAAAGCTGGCCCGTCTTCTACTCCAGTGCCGTTCTTTGGAAGCCCATGATCGTGATAGAGTAACGCAAACGTTGCGTAACATCTCATCCAGCAGATATCCGTCAGCGCAGAGTGCCAATGGGATATGGCAAGCTCCTCCCGCTCCAGAACAGTTGTCCACGGGACAAGAAACACCGTGGCCTGCTTCAAAGGAACCTCCTTCGGGAAAAGGCTTGGGTGCGACGTCGCCACTGCCTGTTAATATCGAATTGCCCGCCCCTCATCATGGGTCAAACTGGGAGGATAACTCCTCGTCGTCATTCGATCTCGTTGACATATCCCAGTCGGACATTCGTGATATACTTCTCAGTCGTATCGGGCAGGTTGTATCCGTACCTCATGAAGTGCAAGAACCATATGACCTTTCCTATCAAGATTGTAGTCAAATGTCTGAAATAGCGTACGATTCGCTTGATTGCCAAGCCACGCTAAACTAACAGTGATTTCAGCGAGAGAAAGGTATCTGAAGAACATCCAGATCTTTTCCGCAGGCTTGACAAGAGTAGCTCTGTCTTCATATCAGAAGAGCCAAACAATGCTATGTCCCAATTCAACTCAATAGCTGGACCGTCTTATGATATGTCATCAACGTCCAAAATAGAAACAATCGTTGCCAAAGACATCCTATGCGCTTTATCTTCCCTCTATATAGATTATCGCCAAAGTATCGCTCGAGTTACGTCTCTGCCATCACCACTATATTCCCAACAAGCTTCTGAATCTACGGAGGATGCGGCAGAAGCCCGACTAGAGTATGCTATGTCCAAGTCGCAATTGCAGTTAACATTGGACGAAGGGAAGGTCTGGGATGAACTCGTAGACCCGCCAGGATTGTTTGAAGATGTAACAGGTGCAGCAGAAATAAGCCTTGCCCTACTCGCGGAAAAAAGCAGTATAATTTCCGAGTCTTACGAACGACGAACGCACCCTCCTTCTTTACAAACATACCAGGAATGTAGAGAAATCATACGTGCTATGGGCATACCGTGCATAGAGTCCACAGGTCCATTTGAAGCGGAAGCGCTGGCGTCCTCTCTAGTCATCAATGGATTTGCAGACTATGTCGCCAGTGAAGATACGGTGAAACCTTTTTGTGATCATTTTTGAAGTTATTAGCTAAACCATCATTAGGACGTCTTGGTATACGAAGCCCCTCTCATTCGGAACATTGCAAACCGTGAAGGACCCCTCATCGTGGTATCAGGATCAGACGTACGCTCTGTCTTACAGCTCGAACGCTCAAGCTATATCGACTTTGCTTTGCTTCTCGGAACTGATTTTTCTCAACGGATAAAGAATGTGGGTCCTCAGCGTGCACTCAAGTTCATAAGAGAGTATGGTTCGATAGAGAGAGTACTGGAACAAGAAATCAAGTACCCACCTCGCATGCCACTTCCGATATATCTCCGACAGGTTGAATTAGCTCGAACAGTCTTCCAGACTCTCCCTCCAGTACCAAATCCAGATCTTCTCCAAACTGCGGCTGGAGATACCACTCAAGTCTTTGAGATTTTGCAACGTTATAACTTACAACGACATATTACAAATCATTGGGATCACCAGACCACTCTGGCTGGCAATTACTTTGGAGATAATCCCACTGCATAGACCTGCAGATTTGTAGTCTATATCGAATGTAAATCTAGGAGAAAACGTTTCCCAAATAAACTTTATAAACTCGTGACGATAGCTATAGATCGCTTGATTAGCACCAGAAAGCAAATATACTATCGATGGAAAAGGTACAGCTACAACATACTGAGCAACGTCCAAAAAAGGTCCGGTACAATGTGAAAAATGGTATACATGCGACTAGTTGATCCTCTGTCATACTTCGTTCCGAAGCATGAGACTGAAGCAAGGCTCGCAAAATGGTTTGCTATCTCGCAAGAAGAAAGACGGATTCTCAAAAGGATTTTCACATCTCTGCAACCACAGTGTCAGATTCAAACCAACCAGACAGCTTGAGACTCACCGAGCAAACAAAACACTCCCAGCACCATTTCCCACCTAATGCCTCCACAGCACGAGTCCCGTCGCGTATGCTCTTCTTACATCGCTTGCACTTGGGCATACGCAACCTGACATGGCATGCTTCACAATATGGATGGCCTTTGTACACCGTGAAACCAACGTCGTCGTCTTCGAACATACCATCTCCCGTTACGCTCAGTTCACCCGTTCGTGTGCTCGCGCCTGAAGGAGCTAAGAACGGATCGCCGCACTCCGCACAGAAAAAGTGCTGTTCGTGATACGTCCGTTTCCCAAGGGCAGGATCATCTAATGTGATAAACCGCTCGTCGATGATAGACGTCTTGCAATGGTAACACCGAGGTGCAAAATTCTATAAGGAAATATATGATAAAAGTTTAGCGACTTATGTTATCGTTCTAAACGCCGTACATACCTCGTGATAATCAAGATGACAGTATGGGCGGCCTTCGTGTTCATATGACGACACGTGTTCAAGCAACTCATTACAGACCGTGCATTTAAAACATGCAGGATGCCACCGTAAACCCATTGCGCTCACAATCCGTCCTATGATAGGCCCACCACAGCCGCCGCACGCCAACTCGCCCGGACGTCGAATCGGAGGGGGAGGTAAGCCGCGTTTCGCACCCCCCTGCTCCTCGTAATGAGTATGTCTCGAGCCAAACTGGGGCTGATCTTGAGAGGATACTGCAGGAGGGAAAGCCTGGATGGACGGAATAGAAGGGTCCAGTACACCAAATGATGGCTCTGAGATGGACATCTTGGGTGTAGAGACGGTTATGTTAGGCTGGCCAGGATTAGAGACAGATATGCGGGGTGGGTCTGGAGAAGAAATACTGATCGTGGGGCCAAAATCATGGTCATCAGAGTCGTCTCCGTCGTCGTCGTCAGGGAGAGAGATTCTAGGTATATCAGGTCGTTGCTCCGCTTTCGCAGGTGAAGCTGGAGCTTCTATCTTTGGCGTTGCCGTATAGCTGTTAGTCCCATTGACAGGTGGAGCCCAGTGAGACTGACGGTCTGACTTATTTTGTTGTGTGGGTGCATGAGATACATTGATCGATGGGACGGATGAAGCAGGCTGTCGAATGGGGGACGGTGATCTGCGTAGGGAAGGAGGAGGAGCATCGTCGAGATTCACAAATTCCCTTTGTCTTCCGCTCATTGCCATGCTCGCATTCATTATTGGTGAGAATGGTTGGCTGGGTACGGTGGGAGTGCGAGGAAGGGGAGGTACGTGAGCAGGCCATGGGGGCTTGGTCGGAGAATTTCTTGTGGGCCCAGCTGGTTGACGATCGGGCTCGCGGTCCTCCTGGAGAGCCATTGAAGCCAAGCGTAATGTTAACGACTGTGTACCTTCTGCATGTTGTTCCGAATCGATGGGTGGCCGGGCTGCGGGAGGTTGAGGCAATGTAGCGGAACGCACTGGTCGGGTGCGTGTATTGGATTGCTTGGCCTCAGGGCTGGGTGGTAAAGAGGAATAGTCGTCAGTCTGTGCACGATTAATAATTGTCCTTGAACGCCCCGGTAAGTCGCGGATGCCATATTGTGGACTGGGCGTCCGTGCTTGCTCCACCCGGGTACCTTGTCCCATTCCATTCCTTTGTCTAAATTGATTCTCTTCATCAGAACTTATATCCGTGGAGGCCATTTCGTCTTCCTTTCCGGACGATGCGGGAACACGAGCATGAAGGGTCAACTTCCGCGTGATATTGCTACCAGAATTAGCTTTACTGATGTCTGGTGAAGTCGTTGGAGAGGCTGGCAACGGCCTTCGCGTGGAAAAGGACAAGCTCTTCTCCAACGTAAGCGGTACATTTTTAGGGCCGTCTGAGCGTTCGGAAAAGTCATTTATATTTGCTCCCACTCCAGAAACTGTACTTCTTCGCTCCATGTTTGTTTTACTGATACCAGAACTTGCGGGAGCAGGCGATGGATTTAAGTTCCGCTTCCATAGCGGAACGAATTTAGTTCCAGCAGGGATATTGCTTAGTTGACTAGCGGGCGCAGGCGGCATACTCTGCGACGAATCTGCAGCAGGGTTGGCAGGTTGATCTGCGTTATGGATGGAAGCATAGTTCTTCACCGGACTAGGTGTACGATTATGCAGATCCAAAGACCCATGCCTAACTGAGCGTGGCAATGGTGTCGGCAATGGTCTCCTCGAACCATGAGATGAAGTAGATGTTGGAGACGCAGCGGATATAGTATCCGCAGACGATGATGAAACCGAACTAGGTATAGTACTGGTGAGCACAACGGGACGAGACGGTGCAGGTGCCTGGATAAGCGGTGGTTGACGCGAGGGAGGAGGCATGGACTCGGGGCGTGGCTTCGGAGTGGGTAGTGGACGCCGAGACTGGTTAGCGGCAAACTGCGAACTGCTAGGTTGCGAAGTGTGGGGGATCGGGGCAGGAAAACTTGAAGGCATCATGCGACTCGGAAGTGGTGCAGGGACATATTGTGAACCTGTCGCTTTCGTTAATGATTTGTTGTATGCAATGGACTGGGAGTTAAATCCTGCTGGACCTATGCGCGGCTGAACAGCTGAAACGGCTTGCGTCTGCGTCTGCGATTGGGGCTGCGGTGTATACGGAGATTGTTGCACCTGAATCGGAGGCTGTGAATATCCTACCTGCTGAGAGTACGGGAGACGTTGCTGGGGCTGCTGAGACGTGTAAGAAAATCCATTCGACTGTAATGACCGCTGCTGAGGCTGTTGGGGCTGGTATACCCTTGGATCATAAGATTGGCCTGCAAGTTGGCTTGGAGCGGTATAGCTCGATGGTGGCTGCTGGGCATTCTGGTTGTAAGAGCTACGTTGGTAAAGATGGGAATTCGGATTAGGTTGCTGATTGAGATATGAAGGATATTGGTTCTGTGCCATCGCAGATGTAAGGAGGTATAAGTATTGCTGAGACGTTGGGAAGAAAACGCTGATTTCCGTTGAAAAAGGCACTTTGCAGTGATCTAAGTCAGCAGAAACATGACCCTAACCCTATATTCGGAGGATTTGATGGCAGAACACATCAGTTGCCAAAAGACAGCTGAACCACTGGCAGGCTCACATGTACAGTATTCTCTATGGGGAGTATAGCTCAGACAAATCCCAGCACATCCCATGCAGAGGAGGTATAGACAAAGCGTTCTAAACAGAACTTTCCACTTCTGGCGCCATATCTATATTAACCTGACTAGGATGGCGTCGACGTCACCTGGTAACCCCACGTTCCAGGACAGCTTTACAGCTGCTTTCTTGGCCTGTCCATATCCCACAGTTCGTGCCAGTGACCTACCATATTTTCGCGATATTTTCTCAAAATCACAGTGATGCGATGCAAATGGAAACGAATCGTATAGCGATGGCGTCGTGAGTAAGTAGAGAGAACATGACAGATGGGCAGAAGTAGAAAAGAACGACGTGCGATATAGGCAGGAATCAGAGGAAAAACTTTTCGCTTGTATAATCTGCGATGTGAAGGAAATGGAAGGGAAAGGCAGGGATCCTGTTTCCCCTACCCCACCTACTCCGCATGAAAAATAGATACTCCTGTCAGTTAAAACAGTACCATCTCCGCGTACTCAGTACACCAGGCCTTTTTTGCACAATCAGTTCAACTCCTCAAGCTTGTCCTTCCCCGCAGCTTGATCTCCTTCCACATCAAAGTTCTCGACCAGGTCAGGAACATCGTCGTCATCTTCATCGGCCGCACCAGCGTTAGGGGCCCTCTGTTGCCCTTGCTGCTGGATGGCCTGGTAAGATTCCGCGAGTTTACGCAGCGATGCGAGGGAATCAGGGCCCAGTTGGTTCAAGATTCCGGGGACAAGCTCCGTGAGCTCCTTCACATGTCCCGTACCGTAGATCGCGAAAGTGTTGGCAGAAACCGCGGCGTGCACTGCGTACAAGGACGGTTAACCTTATTACCCAGTAAACGAGCACATGGATCGAACAAGCGAACATGATGCAAATCATGCACCGCAATTGCATCGAACAAGGAGAGAGAAAAAAACACACCTTTTGGAGCAGTGAAGTGAAGCACGTTTCCATCTTCCCTGAACATGTTGACCTCCTCAACCCCAGGAATTGGCTGCACATTTAATTTCTTCAATGCGCCTTGAAGTTTCTTATCATCTTGTGCAGCGGAAGGTTTGGTCTTCCGTACTATCTTGCGGCGCATAGTCCCCTTTCCACCTTCGCGTCATTTCGTTTTATTCCAGAAGATGAACAAAATGTCAATATCGGAATATCGCGAGTCACGCTGCAGCACGTTGGCTGTAAAATTGCTCACCAATCCTGTTGGCTGCCGCCTGAGCCTGGAGTTTAGCCAATTTTGCTGGATCCATGTTGTTTTAGAGGTGGATCAGGAAACCTTTGGTTACTTTGGAGGAGGGACAACGAAAAGTTGCAACAAGGTTCAAAGGTAAACACGTGTATACATCGATAACCAACCCCGCGCCCTTTCAGGTCTGCGCCACCGACAGGTTGCGTGGTACGGCTTGTTCGGCCCATAAGTGGACGCTTAGATCCCACGAAAGCCTAGTAGTAGTTATCGATCTTCAGTACTGCAGTGTAGCTTAGCTCTATCCACATTCTTGTCAGGTTTATATCTAATGTCAAACCCAACTTTTCATATTCGACCAGCCAAGGTGGAGGACGTAGTATGTCAGGCTTCTATCGTGGCTGTGTCTCCAAGCTGATAAGATCACTGGTTAGGATACAATTTTGCAATTAATCATCGACTTGGTAAACACCCTTGTGCACAATTTCTACTTTGAATGACTGAACATATGTTATTGCATTCACGTACAGGCAACATATGAAAAGGAGCCTGAATCAGTCAAGGCTACTCCACAAATCGTAAGTAAACACGCATAGTCCTCTTTCCGCTGACACGGACACAATTCATTCGTACCCAGTTGCGCCAAAATTTGTTTGACACGCCCTATGCGCACACTCTTCTTGCTTTCGATGGGACGTCCGAAGATCCCGGAGAGCCTATCGGAATGGCGCTGTATTTCTTTAATTACTCAACTTGGACCGGCAGACCTGGCTTGTATGTGCGTATAAAATTCAGTGTGATTTACCTGCGTGATGCATCAGCGTGCATTCATGTTCATTCTGACTGTGTGAACAATTTTAAGTTGGAAGATCTATATGTGAAACCCGAATGCAGAGGAAAGGGCATTGGCAAGGCCTTCTTTGGTGAACTGGGCAAAATTGCACAGGAAAAGGTACTAGTAACTCTACGAGTCGTTCAACTCCGAGGAACATATACTAATCATATTCAAATACGAAGAACTGCCCTCGGCTTGACTGGAGCGTGCTCAAGGTGAGCGGCTGTACACTCACATATACTAAAGGCTCCGAGTCTAACTCCGTCATTTCACTAGTGGAATCAACCCTCTATTGACTTTTACGAGAAAACCTTGGGAGCTAAGGCTATGTCAGGATGGATGGGCATGAGGCTAGAAGAGCAGGGAATCGACAACCTGAGAAAATTTGTTGACAGTTCAGCCTAGTCACCCACCACATTGCTGCAGCGTTGCAGTGAAGGGGCCCCAGTCGTCACAGATTGTTCCTGAATATACTGTCAGGGTTTTATCGGGGGTTCCGATATAGACCTCGGATGAAGAAACCCTTGTCAATCACTCTTCGTGTGCCAGACCGTCATTCCGATGGCATAGCAGATGAAATGCAAATGTCTTCCATTATGAGCGTCACATCCTTGGTAAAAGCAAGTGACCAATACCACAAAGATGATTTGTTGTGGTCTACACCCCATCATAGCTTGCTCCTCCCGCCTGGTGGATAGAGTAAAACAAAAACAAATGAGTCACAATCGCCGCTGTGAGAACATACGAACACGCACCTTGCGCAGTCGTACAATAATAGGATCCTCTTTTAAGTCGTCTTTTTCTCGTGCAGGAACTTCGATTGAATAAGTGCGCAACACGGCTTTGACATCGGCGGTATGCACGGAGATCTATATTGTGAGAATGGTCAGCAAAAGTCGCATTGCCATCCCAATTCAGGAGCAATAGAGATGGGGCATGCGCCACATCGAATACATCTCGGCAGGCTCGTCAGGACAAAGGTTTACGCCAAACACCCAGAGACGTAAGTAAACATGCTGGACGGCCTACCTTTGCTTTCCGCATCACTTTGCAGCCGGGACCAATCCAAACTATGAGGATAAACTTCTCGCGTTGGGACTCCTTGTCGTTTGAGAATGTAACACGAGCATAGGCGTACGATGCCCTGGAATCGTCAAGGGCTTCACGTAATTCAGAGAGTCCCCCTACGCCAGTCTGTGTGACCTTGAGTTTGTCGGAGCGATCGGACTGTTCACAGCAGGTAAAGCGGATCCTAGGGTGTCACGACATGCAAGACATGAGGACAATGATCCTGACCTCATAGTCCAATAGCAACCAGTTCGTCTCGGATTTGTCGGCACGAACGTCCAGGTATGCTGAGAGAATCAAGAACACGATGTTGGTCAAACTATATTTTGACTAGTTTCCCGGAGTTCACGCTAACCTTCGTTTATCTGGGGATCAGACACATCGGCCATAGGGCTAGTCTATGAAAGTAAGCAGGCAAAGCAAAGTCTCGTACGACGTAACGAGTGAAAGTGGGCGCAGGTGAAAAGTGCAAGGGGACGATGAAACTGATCACTGATGGTTGGTTGAGACCCTACGGGATAGTGGTTACTATATTGCTGAACTCACGGATTACGCCGACTACTGCTATGGCCGCGGAGTCGAAAAAGGAAAGAAAATTATCGGCAATATTCAATGGTGACTTTCGAGTCCAAAATTCAAAACCACCATCACAATGCTGCAGGCCTTTCATTCATTCATTCATCATCTCCCTGCCATCAGTCAAAGGTCCTCGTGTTCGTTCAGAACCTCGTTTCATCGCTTCTATTCATCATCCATAAGAGAACCAAGGCAGCGCGACTGGCGTTCAACTGGTCACCCCAATCCTCTATCACTTGTTCAGGGGGAAGATGAACCGCTCGATCTGAGCGAAGATGATGATGAACCGCCTCCTCGGCCACGAAAGTATGCTACACAAGACGAGACACCCAATGAATGGCGGCAGCATCGGCTCACATTGAAGGAAGCATTCCCTGATGGCTGGAAACCGCCCCGAAAAATATCTCGTGAAGCTATGGACGGGCTGCGCACTCTTCATATGTACGATAAAGATATGTTCTCGACACCGGTATTGGCCGAAAAATTCAAAATTAGCCCTGAAGCTGTGCGTCGAATTCTACGGAGTAAATGGGAGCCTACGAGAGAGAAGAGGGTAAAAATGGCTGAAAGGGAGAGGCGCACAAGAGAAGAGCGGATACTGAAGAATCGGCTGGAGGAAAAGAAGCAGAAGTTAGAGCTCATATTGGAAGCTGCGAAAGATGGGATGGATAGGGCGAAACCTATGCAAAAGGATCGGCCCACCAGAGGCGTCAATTCCGGAGACGAGCTTTATTTCCAGTAGCGGGCCCGAGGTGTTCCTTGCATCATCATCGCTTCGTTCTTTAACTCCGGTTCGCAACCTCGTTTTCTTCAAGGTGAGAAGTAAATTGAGAAGTCGTACCTTAGGAGATGGGTATCACCCTGTGATCGCCGATCGATAGAGAGGATCAGGTCCGAAAGAACATACTATTGTGCATGTTGGCATATTAGCTGGTGGTATACTACATAATTAAAGGAATACATATCCGCTAGCAGAGATATAATGAATGAAGGGGAAAGGAATGGAAATTATAGCGAGCGTCAAAGTACATTATAACAAGGTCCTAAAAGTAGATGAATAATAATAATAGTGTTTAAAGAGTGCGTTGAAAGTACATTGTGCATGATGTTCATGATGAGTCCGAAAGTGCAAAAATCCTGGAATAAAACAAGTCTGTCCGACCTATAGCGGAAGCTCTGACCTCTCGTACTTCAGATAACATGATCCTTTGGCAGGGCGACATAGAAGAATATCATTCCAGTTGGGCTGTGGTAGAGGTTCGGGCCGCTTTCCGGTGCTATCAACCACATCATAGCGAAACCCTAGAAGAAACATTGAGGTAATAAGTTTTAGTTCCACTTTGGCAAGGCGCTGCCCCAAGCAAATGGTTTTTCCTGTGAAGTTATTAAGCAAAAGGCATAGCCTGAGCTAAAAGGAACCTACCACCGCCCCATCCAACGTATCCGAATGCGGTTTGCACTTCCTCCTTGCGTCCTGGATCAAACTTCCATGGATCGGGATATAGTTCTGGATTTAAATGGACATCGCTGAACGGGTACATGATATATGCTCCCGACGGAATCGTCTTTGCGTCAATAGAGACTTCAGGGCCAAGGTTCCGGCGCATAGCCGTGTGTGGCTGGGCTACGCGAAGAGTCTCGTGAATGATTGCGTCGAGTACAGGGGTTTCTGCCTCCCATGCTTCTAAGGGAATGGAAGCAAGGTGTGAAGAAAGAGAAGGTTTGGCCGAAGTACTTTCTGGTGGGGAGTACATTTCGAGAAGCCGCTTGATTTCATCTGTCGCCTTGCCTCTCCAGTCTGGATGGCCTCCAAGGAAGGTAATGAGCCAAGACGCTGTGGTACCAGTAGCTCGTGCGCCAGCAATCAGAAGTCCCATGATAAACTAATGCTATGTTAGTACCGCTTGAGTTTTGGAAATATTGAGACCTTACCCCGACAACCACCAATTTTTCGTCTCCAGCGTCAAGTAACATCTGTAAGGAGTCGTTACGAGAAATGCCGCTTGCTATTCGGGCGTCAATGGCACGGACAACAATGTCATATATTTCCTTCGTTGCTAGAAGTTTCTTTATCATGCTTGGTCCAGGAAACCATGGTAGGAGTACAGTGGCAGGGGTGGTTCCACTATCGAGTTTGTCATATAATTTCTTGAGACGAGCGACAATTGCGGGGTCATCTGCCAGCTCCGCACAAGACAGGGAGCGAACAGTGGTCTGGAAAATTAACTATAGAATTAAACAATAACAATAAGGTAAGTGGCTCAAATTTAGCACTAGAAAATATTTCGCTGACTTCATAGACTTTATCAAACGGGTCGAAAGTCCCAGAAGAACCCCACGAATCCATGACCCGCTGTGTGTCTTCAAGAATTGGGACAATTACTGATTATACATGGGCGTTAGCTAATAATATATTATGATTATTCTGTTAACATACACTGGTTAAGCGGTTCGTTCTTCTGAACGGCGGAAAGGCGTTTATGGATCAAGGCGATTCGACGGGTCTGGAGATCGGAAGTCACTCCACGGACCATGGGAATCTGTCAAAGGAATAAGTTTACGGCATAGTGGGACACGAGGATAACGTACAGCGCCTGAAAGGACCTTGAAGCCTTCGGTGAGGTCAAAACCTTTGTTAGCGAAAAACGCCTTTCGTGCCGACTCGCCAGAGACGACAACGACCGTATCCTAATTAGTCGCGGTCAGCTGGTGCATTATGATGTAGCGAGGGAAAGCATACGCGGAGGAGATTGAATTGGAACAAGGACTGTCCAGTAATGCGAAACCCAGAGTTGAGAAAGTCAAAGCGTTTGCGAAAAAATGGTACTATTGACAATAAGGGGTGACCTGGAAGAAAGACTGGTGAATTTTCGTCATGACCGTCATCTTTGTGTGCGCCAATCCCGAAGACGATAATAATAAAGAGGAGGACGAGAGCAATAACGAGCTGGGCCTGTAAGCTCGCGAGGAGGAAAGCATCTGCGGCAGATTGAAGCCCTACGGTATACATCGCTCTGGCTTGCAGAGAGGCTGAGGAGAGAAATAGATAGCACAAGGGAAGGGATGGACGAAGAAGGAGAGCCGGAGATGGGCCATTTTATATGGCAGCGGGTGCAGCGCGTCTGGCATGCAACGGCGCAGCGACACAGGTCCGAGATCAGTTAATAGGTTGGGGCATGTTTGGCAACGTTGTAACCTCAGGCTCAACATCACTATCAGTGTATAGTACGTGATCTACGCGAGCAGCGCGGTACCGTGCATACTGCTGCCGCTCGATCGATATCTCGGCTCCGACAAAGCGTCACTTTGCGTGGAACTCGCGTGTGCCCATAAATGTCAGAGACTCAGGCTGTTATAATACCCTCGAAACGTGTATATCGTAAGCCAGGGGGCATGCAATGTTTCTGTCCTTTGTCCCTCCATCTTTAGTTCATCGGGACCGCTCCCAGAGCGCACACATCATTATAAGCATTGAACCTTTCATAATCCTATACTGCAATCACCCCACATACCAGTATCGCCTTCACCTAGTTGCATGCTAATGCGTCAGTCACTCGATCCATATATCCAAATACCAGACTCATACGTACAAAGAATTATGGCCTGCAAAGCCTGGCGTACATCTCTTGCAGCCCTAGATTTGCGGCATGGACAACAACTGGTTGTAGACGGCAATACAACAGCGGTGTCCGTCATATCGGCCGGGCGTTAGAATTTTCTTGCTTTGGTTAGAAGCGGTGTCGAACTTCCTCAATCTTTTATGGGCGTCTTCCTCGAGGACTGGTCTTGCGAAAAGCTATCACTACCTGATCGTGTCAACGGTACCCCGCCTTCTCTTCTGTTGGGTCCAATGCAGAAGATACGACGGACCCGGAAAGCGCTCATATAGATGACAGCTGAATGGAACGTCGAAAAAGATTGTATTGACCACTCGAAGATCTAAGAATATCCTCAAGGCACGGTGTCTGCATGCTGCCCGTGGTCTTTCCGGAAACTCCCTAAAACGTTGCATGGATAATTCAGAGTCAAGTTATTGGCCAGTGCAGGACACTCGGTGATGTGGTAGCATATCGTTATCATCTACATTTCCGCTATGAGTAATTGAAAAAAAAAAATTTGTCCACAGATATGACACGTACACTCCTCGCGCCTAGATACACGCACATTGAACCTGTTCCGCCAACGGGAATAGGACCCCACTCACGGGATACAAGAGCCTACGCCTGAATGCCAGTGATCGAAGGCGGTCAAAATACATGCATAATGCGACAGCGCCGCTAGTACAACGCTAAAATGAAATATTTGGTGCGAAGCCAAAAAATAGTCGAACTTGCCCGGTGCCAAACGTTCCGGGATGCGATTCGCACTGCAAGGCGACGGGAATGAAAAAGGCACGATTTTCAGCTAAGGCACACATGGTCCAAATAATAGTATGGGCATGACGCACTAAGTCAACGCGCCAGCGATGTACAAGCCGCCAGATGTTAATAGCCATCCGAAACCCATTTCTGAGACTAACTTGAAAAAGCCGTGGGACATAAGCAACTGTGACACGGGTACAACAGCAGACAATCCAAGGCCTATGAACACCCTGGTCCGAGCACCCCGATGGGAAGGCTTTGCGTACTCGGGGTTCAAGACAATGTAACCTGCTCCTGCACGAAACGGGGCAGCTTCAGCACATAATCCATCGCCAGGAAACGGACACTGCACTTACCTGCCCCAGCCATGGCTATGAAGAGGATGTATAACACTTGGAAGAAGGGCTCACAGTAAAACCCATAGTACAGGCATGGAACGAAGGACCCGACAGTGAGGACTACAGCGAAAGCTCCGCTCAGGGCGTACTCAAACAGGTCCTGCTAGCAAACTTACCGACAATTCCAGAATAATCAAACGCATGACAGCGAGCAGTAACCTATTTGCTAATTGTAGCAATTCACGAGGGAGACCGGCTTAACATTCACTAACCTTTTCTGAATGGCAAGTAGCCGTATGGAATATGGCGCTAGCCGTCAGGCAAAACACTGCCGACAGCAGGAATATAACGAAAACGCAGGTATCAAGCCAGGTTGTGGAAGCGCCCGTTACTACATGGCTGGATGGGAAGGTAAACAGGAAGAAAACAAAGAGAACAGCACCGCCCAGGTGACTGTGTATGTTGACTTGCGTCGGAAAAGCAAAAATTCAAACTTAGCCAGAATCGTGTTGTAAACATGGAGACTCTACCTGTTTCATTGTGCAAATCTGTGTAGAGGGACGTTACGACTTCGAACTTCGAAAGATAAATATAAACACCCTCACAACCAAAGACCGACCTAAGGCATCCAATCCATCCGTTTTGCACGCTACATAGCGATAAGACTCATGAGCATATAGAACCCAGAAGCCTGCACTATGAGAGTTCCCAAAATGAAATTCAGGTGCTAACCGTCGATATCCAGTCAAGATATATTCGTTGTCTCTCTGCCAGTACGGTATTTCGTTCCAAGCCAACGTCACGGACTGTTTGGGCAACGCATTCTGGCCAAGAGATCTGTGTATAAACGAGGACGTCGAGTGTATAGCCTTGTCATCAGTGATATCAGACACGGACATGGTTCCACTTTGGGTACTATTCTCGGTATGTTTCTGCCTTAGCATTGTCGAGTGGTTTGGAGCGAGCGTGACGTAAATTTAAGTTGAGAGGAGGCTAGAATTTTGATTCTATGAAGTATAGCTCCTAGAGCGTATTTCTAGATCCTCGAAACAGTAACCCAAGCGCAACGATAGCCTGTGGGCAGCAAATAATATGGGGTATGGGGTCACGGTATCAACCTGAACAAGTCATTGCTTCCTAATTCCTGGGGTTTGGTGGGAAGCTCTGAGTTCGAACTCAGCGCTTATTGAACAGTGCCCCGGTACCGCTTTACTTATGTACTTACTTGATCACAAAAGAACTCTGATCCTGACAAGATTACCGTGGCCCTTAAGCAGAGCTTTATCCAGTTACAGTACGTTACAGTAAACCTAACAGACTTCATCATCGTATATCTAAATTACAACAAATTCCATATTAGTACACTAGCAGATGAGATCTTGGTGGGTACAGGGAAACTTCTACAAATATTGCAGATATGAGAGAATTCTATGGTACACAAGGCAGAATGGAAACGCTTCACAGCCGAATGTGCTTTCTTTCGCGCAATACAGAGACATATCAATGGCTCCTACGATATGAAGACCTTCTTTAGCGCAGAGAACTCGCAAGTAAGTTCAGACCGAGGGCAGGTCACTTGGCCATTATTCTTCGCTGCCATATCCTCTAAAGCCTGTAATTTATAAGCAGCCGCCACCAGAGCAAAATTTACTTGCGATGACTTACTTCTCTTGAATAAACATAACCATTGGGAAACGCCATAGGCATGTTATCTTCATCCATAATCTTCCCGCTCAGCCTACACACTATAGTCGAGTTCAGGTGGTGACTAAATGGAACCTCTTTAGATAACAGTCCTATGTCGGCATCACAGACAGGACAGTCAATGTTCTTCGTAGAATGGTAACACGTAGGAAGCTTCAGTGAGGCTAAGCCAGAATAAAGCGCAAGGTTGAGAAGGGGCTCTGTTGGGAGACTATTGAGATTGTAGATTGCCAGACGAAAAGCTTGAATCAATGACGTCCATCGCGAGGGATCATATAAGCGCTAGAGAATTCCTCAGATTAGACATCGATTAATGCAGTATCATACTCACTCGATATTGTCCACAGCTGGTCGTAGGAGGCATGGCGAGTAATGCAGATGCCTGAAGGATCTGTTTCATATGAGTCTCTTGCCATGCTATTAAATGCTTCTTGGAATATATAATGGCATCGCTGGATTTGCGGGCGCGGGCCAACTCTATATATTCCTGAAGTCGTAGCTCGAACTCTAAGGTACTCTACGAAGGTGTCAGTCATAATAAGGTAGGCCAGTACGAGTCTCTTTAACACTCACCTTGATTTTGCGCAGTGCAGTTTTGTTCTCGCTACACCAAGACAGAGCTTCAGTGCAACTATGTCGAGAAAGAGCCTCCTCAATGCGATGAATATCCGCGAACAAGTCAATGTCCACAAGCGTCTATGAAATAAACCAACTTAAAGTATGGTCAATATGTGAATTATAAAAACATACTTCTATTGACTTCTCCTCAGCAAGTTTCCTTGCCGTCTTCTCCTTGCCAGAGCGCAAGGCCCAGTCGACCAACCAGCGATCAAGCCGTGTGTCAGCCCATCGAGAAAATTCTGGCTCGCTTGTGGACTGGAGGGCCTCAACAACGGCAAGATGGTGTAAACGTTCGCGAGTAACGTCGAGGGTAGGTTTTCCAGCAGTATCCTGGAGCTCAGAGAGCTACACATTTTCCTGTAAGATGAAAACGGCCATGAGACCACCTCCGGACTGTGCTAACCTTACGTTTCAGGTTCTCTACCCTCCCTATCATCCCCTCCACGGTCTTTGATGCATCCCGAGGCGTAGAGTCGCCACTTTTTTCACGCCGTGAGAGATCGTTAGCGGATGCCTGAACGTTACCCAATTCCCGCTCAATATTCTTCTGTGACGCACGGAATACCTTGCGATAGTTCTCGTAAGGGACCTTCACGAAAGGGGTGAGTCGGAAAAGTGGCGTCAAATGGAATAATGTACATACGCGGGCAAAAGGTTGCTCGAACAGCATGACTCCATCTATATTCAACTTCCCCGTGCTCATGGTGTTGACTTGGATAGTCTAAGATCGTGCGATATAATAGATGTCGGACGAACGTTGCAGTGGTATGGTCGCTAGCCACTCAGTCACAATATCGGTAGTAACTTGCAACGACACTAATTCTATACTTTGTCGAGGCGAAGTCAGCGAGTTGGGAGGCTGTAGGTAGCAATGGGAGGTCCGCTTGCCGTCAAGCAAGCATGCCCACAGAAACCCCACGGCCATACAATGCGCATCACGTGCTAGTGGGGTTTCTCATGGTCACAGTTAAGTGCAGGACCCCTATTTAATACTACGAGGGGCCCGCTACAGTCAGGTTTTATGAAAGTAGGTATGAAAGTCTGGGTTATAGTAAGTTTTGTTCAGGTGATCGACAACATTGTTACTATTTATGAATCTATTATCGCCTAGACTGTTGACGTCGATCCCGCCACCAAGCTAGAATTTCTCTGCCCAACGCAACTACTAGCGGAAATGTGATGGATGCAAATAGTGGGGTGTAGACTGCATACTTGTGTTCAGCAGGAAAATATAGTAGTGCTAACATTCCAGGATTAAAGAAGGCGCGAGAAGCCAAGGAAAACGCCTCGCTGGACCAACGAAGCGCGAGCGTAGGCGAGGATGGTGATACCTTGTACACCTAGCAAAGCAGGAGATAAGCAACATGGATTACATTCAGCAGTCATAAAATTAACCTGTTCGAGCGCTGTAAGAGCATCTTGCACGTCTCCTTTGACATGTTGACCCACAGGCATGTTGTCAATTTGCTCCACTAATTTCACGATGCTGTACAGGGTTTCCTGGGCACCCTGAGTGGCTTCTAGTGCGCGACGCCGTAGGACAGCATCGAGTTGCCAATCAGACAAGGGATCATCGTCCACTAGATTCATCCCTGCAGGAATCGGGGGGACACCCAGAAGGGCCAGAAGCTGGTGACGGAACGCAGAGAAGACAGGCTGGAGATGTGATCGAGATAGAGATAGTTTGTCAGCTGCCTCGCCTGCAATGTTGAGTATGAAAACACCGCCCCATTGTGGTAATAAAAAGGAGCTTGAATCCGTCGGGGAACCTACATCGTCCGGAGTTCAGCAAGTTTGGTAGATGAGCGTCGTAAGGCTCACCAAAATCATCGAGGATGTACAGAGGTTTCTGGGTGGAGGATGGCACGAACAGTACAAAATGCAAAACTGGATCGTTGGATACGCTAGACGCTAAACACAATGTTTCAGAAGCACGGCATCAAGAATAATGACACAACCAACATAATGTCCAGTGTGCAGAATTTATGAAAACGGTGAGATCTTCCTGGCTAAGACCGTGTGCGCTGTCATTTCCGACCGTGACAGGTTGCGGTGCAAATGCTAATGGTGCATGTAATTGCACCTGACTTTCTATGGTGAAGTTGTGTAACACCGAAAGACTCGATAAAGTAGGCGAGAGATATTCTGGTATCTCGATCAATTTATAACTTGTACAAAACCAAGAAAATCAGACCAGCTATTGCGTTGTCAACATCCCAACCAGTGATTGTTTGTCCAAGGGAAGCATCCTCGTTTAGTAAAGAGAATGCAAGGCGGTATCGAGCTGCATATTGAACCACCCGTTGTTCTCGTAAATCGGAGTCCACCGAGGTATGGTAAGGTGCGACTAGACGAGACAAAATTTCAAGTACTTTACAGCACTGAATAAGTATTCAGGTAACAACCCTTTGGTCATCAGTCGACTTACAAGACGGAACATCATTCTCAGATATTGTCAGCTGCCTTTTGGGGCCCAAGGCTCCAGCCTTGCCAACAGCGACCGAATATGTACCGGGGATGGGAACAACCTCTTCACACACAATCAGCTTACAAAGTTTACATCCGAGGTGATTGCATACCTGCGTACCTCTATCCTCCTTCAAACGCAGTTGCATATCAATACCTTTCCATCGCTGTGAAGACAACAGCACAGGTTTTTGGAGTTGGCGGAAATCATTTTTCAATGATTGAATGTCTAGACTTGAATTCGTGGCATCCAGATCAATAGTTACGGGGAAGGCGAGCTCCTTTTCAACTTGGGCACGCACGCGAGCTGAAGGTAAGGATAGCCGCTCGATGCTGGTAGTATGCCACCAGAATGGAAGTGCAAGAAAGATAACGATCCAATACGACGCCAATATAGACCTTCGTGTCCTCTGGCTTTCAAAGCTGAGTTTTGACGGCTCCCTAAGCACAGTCTCGTCTTGCTGTTGGGTCTCCATGCATGCGCCTTGCAGAGCACTTGGCGCCTAAACAGGACGGCAACTCGGGATGTCGGAGTTGCAAACTAGACTACACTGTGGCGGATGGTCGACGGTTGTACCAAAGACCTGCACTCCAAGGCCATACAAAATCCTTTTATAATCAAGGTCTACCATTCTCTTCCCCTTTTACTGGTATTTCATGCTACTTTGATAGAGGAAATATCATCTGTGATATTCCCTTACTGTTCAACCACTAGGTTATACGCTTTCGGGTACGAATTGGCTGTTGTTGATTACTTTTTATCTCGCATTCTTGTCTGGCATGGCTTCCGCAAGCTTCGAACCACTCCCTCCTGCAGAAATCCGTCGTTCCTCGGGAGGTATCCCACAATCGACGTACGATGTCAGTAGACCATGCGCTGTATGTCCAAATCATTCAACTAAGTGTGACAATGTAGGTGCCATCAACTTCGTCAACGCGGCGCAGGTCTCCATCTCCAGGCCCTTCGCCTCGTCGATACGCACCATACGACAGTTATGTTCCTCGCGCAGGACCGCTCTACCGTGATGAATTCCAGAACAGCTATAGGCCAAATGTCTGGCGCCCAGGTCGCTCTTATTATAGCCGTAGTCCCTCGCCTGATCGCTACGAAGGCTCTCGAGTCTCTGATCCTGATCCTTGGGCACGACCGTCTCACTGGAAGTCGTCTTCTTGGACGGATAGACGCACCCATAGCCCTCCGCCTGCTTCGTGGGATAGAGGTCGCCGTGAGATCATGGCCGAGCGCATGTTTGAGCCTTCTGAAGCTTGGAAGCAGCATCATAGCGACCGGCCAAGTCGTCATGATTTGTACGATCATAGCCAGTATATGGTACATTCTGATACTCACTTGAACTTACGCAGCTCCGATTCATCGCCGGTTGACCGATACCAGGATCATCGCATGCGACCTCCAAGAGACTTATCTCCAAGAGCAGTATCACGGTATGATTATCCACATCACCAAATGAGCGACAGTTATCGCCCTTATTCTGGAGGTCACCCTAGCCGGGACTCTTATCCCGTCACACGCTCTGACACTTACAGACCTAGCTACGAGGATAACGGATCCTGGAGATCGACATACTCTCGTGATTCACCTCCGTCTAAAGCTTTCCAGAAACGAGATGCTTCACCAAATAATTACTCTCATCGAATATCATCCACTTATCATGATCACGGTATCGTGCGGCCCCACAGTCCTGTACGCTCGAGTGGTATTCCATCGCCTCGCCGTTTGTCCAATTCATTCCCTTCACGAGTCAGTGCAATGGAAGCACCAAAGAAGCCCGTTCCTTTATCTGATCGCCAGCAACATTTTACCCCACCCAGACCGAGGTCGCGTGGATCTTCGTTCTCGGACGAGCCCCCGTTCAAGAAGTTTAAATCTCGATCATCATCTCGATGCTCCGATATTTCTCATACTTTTAAGTCTGACATATCTGCTCGCTCAAAGTTCGATGTAGCTCGTCAATTACAACCCCCTCAAACAAATTTAATCACTAGCCAAAGGTAAGTACTCAGCAACACCGTGTTATGGTCACTTATTTTTATGTTATTTCTCCACAGTTATTCCCAACCAAGTAAAGATGGAGATCGTCGGTCTCCGCCAAGAAGTCACGAGATATCAAACGCATTGAACGGAGTGGAATCTAGTACAGCTGACGAACATCTTAATTTGACTGCCAGGGAGGAAGAGTCATCTGCGTCTCCCAGAACGTCGTCCTTACCTACACCGCCACAGGATATCTTCCCTCACCAAGGTACTGTCACTTTATTACATTCCAGTTTAGTATTTTACTCATTCCGCATTATAGCCATCGTGCTCCCTTCTGAATTCACGTTTGGTGACAAACTATTGGATTCCGCCAAATTTGACAACGTCTTCGATGATCAGTGTAAACTGCATGAGAACGTGACTCAGCCAACAGGCGAGGAACAACATCCCGAAGAGACGCGAGTTCTATCTCCTGTCCCTTTGGAAACGGCTGCCGTAGATGCTGGCTCTAAATCCCCTGATTCGAAACATGTCCAAGATCACGATCATACATCCTTGCTCGCTCCTTCTGATACACCACAAGAGGCAAGTCCACCTCGTATTGATGCAATACCTGAACCCTTGGCAGCCCATGATGCACCGCCTAGTTGCGACATACAAGCATCGACTGGTCACGTTCCGGATGTCTTGGATGGTGAAACACGCGAAAGCCACTTCACTGCTGTTGCAGACCAGTTGGAAGAGACTTCCAGGGACGCAAGCGTGGTCTTGTCTGGTGGAAGGGAACTACCTGCAGTAAATTCCACAGCTGAAGCGCTTCGAGTTGTCGTCATGACAAGGCTTCGGTGCGATCGACAGACACGAGAAGAGCGTGTACTTCCTGTGTTGCGGGCAAATTTGGCCCTGGTACAGCACTCTCCATCGGGCCCATCCACATCTCCGGAGGCGTTGATACATGAAATGGTCGACTTCCGGCACACGCAGATAGTTGATATGCATACCACGATCAGACCATTGCTGCTCCAACGCTTTAAAGATCGTCAATCTTCCACAGCAGATAAGGCTCAAAAACTGCGAGAGGAATATATGGTCCTTCATGAACGTTGGCTTGCCCATTGTGCTCGTTTAGACAACGCGCATAACAAGAATGGATCACTTGAAGAATCAGTTGTTGCTTCAGGTCGATCTACCCGTCGGTCCGCTGCAATTCTTGGTGATGCTGTTCGCTCTGACCTCGAGATGGAACAAATAATTGCCAGTCTGGGAGTTGAAGAACTCACAGATCCAAATCACCTCGCCATCAAGAACGTTGCCAAAATCCCCGATATGATTTCTGTCACAGACGGATCTGTTAGCTGCTTGTATGACGACACAAATGGTCTGGTGGATGAGCCTATGGAATTTTATAATTCACAATTAGGCATCGAAGATTGGACGGATGAGGAAAAGGCCATATTCAACACAAAATTTGCAGCTCACCCTAAGCAGTTTGGTCTTGTCGCGGACCATCTTCCCAACAAAACTGCTGCACAGTGCATTACTTATTACTATCTGCACAAGAAGGCACGTGTTGATTTCCGGAAGGTGGTCACACAGTATGGTCCAGGTAAACGCCGCAAGGGTGGTAAAAGGACAGATAAGCGGAAGGGTAACGCGCTTTTGGCGGATATAAGGCAGCATGATGCAGAAGTATCTCGCGATTCATCTTCAGCTGCACTGAATGGCGGAGGCAGCAGACGTAAAAAGGCACTGATGCGCACCGGCGTTGCTGAAGAGCCTAAAAAGCCAACTGCCCGTCGTAATGTAATCCAATCTGAGCATACCCCGACCTCAGGAACATCAACGCCCGACCCCGAGCCTAACGGACAAAAGAAGAGACGTCGAGCTCCAGCTTCCGTTCGTTCAGCGGCTATCAACGGTTCGGTCGAATGCGACGAGGGCGCTACAGTAAGTGCTTAGATGTTCAAGCTGAAGGAAGTATTTAAAGTTCTCACAAACCAGGATCAAAGCGGTGAGCGCAGGGTGACAAGAAAAGGACGAGCTAGTCGTAAAGGGAAAGTGCAAGCGGCTACCCCCTTAGAAGAACCAGCAGTCAGTTTGGAAGCTACGAAGTTCATTGACCAAAGTGATGCTACAATTCGACGTAGATCAGCTGCTGGAACTGTGCACTGGTCTGACGAAGACAAGAGTTAGTTGATCCCTCCCGTCTGCGTTCCTTAGTAATTGAACTTATTTTTCAATCTAGGTTTATTTCTCGCTCTTCTCGCTCAGCATGGTGATGATTTCAAGCGCATAGCAGCATCCATGCCGAACAAGGTGTGTTTCTCTCTTTCCAATAATGAAAAACATGCTCATTTTTTACAAGACTACTATTCAAGTCAGCAATTTTTACAAAAGCAATGTGCATGAACTTAATTTGGAGAATGTCGCGGCCTACGCACCCAAGCGCTCGCCGACGCCTGAGGTTTCTCACGATACCTGGAAGGAAGGAGTGTATTATCCAGGTTCTGGTATTATGTCCCCAGTTGCGGGCGCAGGAACACCCGTGAACTCGGGCTCCAGCTCTCCGCCGCGTCGGCTGCAGATTCGAGAACTGCTTAGAGCAACCTCTGCAGACGGAAGGCCCTCTCCGTTACCATGGCTAGAAAATGAATCTACGTTTAGTGTGCAGGGTTCCCCACTTGGCCATTCAACTACTGTCGCGGTAAATTCACAGAGTGCTGAGTCTGTACACCCACATTCCCCATTATTGCCTCGTACTCATCCGCCTTCCAATTTCACCCGCTTTGTTACAAAATCGCGAAGTGCTATGGGGCATGACATGAGCCATGATGCATCCATTTCATCACCTCAATCGTTATCATTTGTTCAAAGTCTGAATCCGACTACTTCATATACCCGCTACCCAGAGACATCATACCCCATTCAAGATATGGTCAGAGCCGACCGCGGAGAGCCGATGCTGGACGCTCGAGTTGGTGTACCCAGCTCACTCCTGTCTCAATTGAGAGTTCAAGTTGAGGATGGCATCTCTAACTTTTCATCCTCCAACGACCTGCGGATTCCAAACAACAATGCCGTTCGGTACACTTCATAGACGAATGCGTTACTAAATACCTTTGCTTTTGGCCTCCAAGGATCGACATGGCCTGTCGGTTTATTTGGGCCTCTCGCACCCATAGATATTATGATGTTGTGCTGGGTTCTTCGACGGATATAAAGCTCTCTTCGTATGGCCTCAACTTCTTGTAGAAACTGGCTTAGCGTCAAGCTTGAGCTGGGTTTTGTAGGCTTACTGTATCTTTATAATATTTTATCCTCGCGCGATCCACGTTGGTATCGTGATCTATTGATTGGTTCAAGGGAAACACTCTAAATCCAAGCGACTAGCTGTTATGATTATCGTGCTGCAATTGCAGCTTGCGAGGGGTAGTCTTTCCAGCAGTGACAGGCATCGGCATCGCTCTTAAGCTCATTATATTATATACAACTGATGACAGCACAGGTTGATTTGTTAGCTACAATTTCACGAACTTGAAAGTACATTGTAAGGGTTCGATGTCAGCTGGCTCAACGACGCCCTTCGACCATGACAATATGATAGCCGAAGTTTGTCTTGACTAGTGGAGACAACATTGGCTTATCCACAGTCGAAGGCTCGAGTGCAAAGGCTGCTTCCTGGAATGCACCCTAATCATGTGTTAGCAGACAAAAACCAACAAGTGATCGGTGTGGGAAACTTACAACCATGGATCCTCGGACCATCCATCCAAGGCTTCCTCCAGCTACATATAAGTCAGTAGCCACACGCCCTGCACCGATGGGGGTGTCCACGAACCTTTAGCCTTATCTTCAGAATACTCCTGTGCAACCTTATCAAATCGCTGGCCCTCCTGAGAAGTGTTCTAAGTAAATAAACAGCAAAACGAGGTCATAATCAAACCTGAAGTTTCTGCAGAGCCTCTGTAGCTTTGGAATGTTTTTCACATAAAATGTGGCGAACGTTAACTGCTGTAGCAGGCTTCAAACCTCCCTTTCCCTATAGCTTAACGCCATCAGCTGCGAGCGTAAGCGGAGAGAACGCGCCCAAGCAGACAGACTTTAGATTGCGAGGAATCATCGTCTTTCCCTGCGTTTTTCCCACTGGCCCCTTTCTTTGCAGCAGACTTTTTCTCTGTGGAGCCTGACTGCTTTTTGGCCATCGCAAGGTGTGACTAAAGCGGTAAAGTCGATAAGAATTCAAGTTTAAAATATAAGTGCTTCAAGCTTTAGGTCCAATGAATCGAAGAAGGAAAGAGCGCAAGCCAGCTCGGAGATCTCTTGGATGGATATTTTAGAATTGGCCAAGGACTGAACTCACAGATGATGTGCAGTCCTCAAGATAGTGCCTACTAGTGAGACCCTAGTAACTCAGCGGATGTCACGGTGTCAGTATCAGTAATCGTGTATGTTGTGACCTATTTGGTTACAGAAGAGCGAAACAGGTCGAAGTCACCGAGTTCTATGTTGTTGAGAAGGAACGACTATCTTCCTTCGAATCTTTTGGACTGCCTACGGGAGACTAACCGAGTTCAGTCATGGCCAACAGTAAAACACCACACTCAAAACCTCTGTAAAAAAAACTATCGTTATTTCATAGTTGTTTAGGAAGTTCCAAATAAATGTGCGTCCTACAGAAAAATAAAGGCGTTTCCATTACTTTATCTAATTTGAAACATCAACAGTTGTGAGGATCACAATGGCAGCAAATTTGGACTAATTCCGAGTGGGAGGATCCAGGGGTCGTAGCTGCACTCACCATCTCTTTTTCGCCACCGCCCACTGGCTCACTAGAAATTATCCAGCACAAATGGACCACCGACTGATGAACGAAGTACCAGACGTGATCCTTCGATCAGGAGATGGTCAGGAGTACAAAGCTCACAAATATCTGTTGTCACTTGCGTCCCCTGTGTTTTCAACCATGTTTACCCTGCCTCAGGGTTCGGAATCGCCGTCGTCGCCATCCAATCGCGATGGACTACCTGTGGTGGACATGCTTGGAGATAATGGCAAAGTTTTGCAGCGCTTGCTCGAAATGTGCAATCCTACATATTTGCACGAGGAAAAGCCTGTAAAGACGCTGGATGAATGGAAGGAAGTGTTTGCCATGGCACAAAAGTTCGAGATGAAAGGGGTGGGATACTACCTCCGCAGAAATCCGGGGTGGTTCGCCGAAAAGGAACCCTTGCGAGTTGTTTCTCTCGCAGTGCAGTCGAAAAATGCCGCAATAGCACGGAAAGCTGCCTCATCTTGCCTCGCAGTTCCCTTCAAAGATTGGAAAGTGTTCCCAGAAATGGAGTCCATAACGGGAGGAGATCTTCAAGGATTGCATAACTACTATATCAAGTGTGGAGAATCTGCCGCTGCGATAGTAAAGACTTGTGACGAACGCCTATGTCACTGCGTTGGGTTCCACTGCGTGGAATGCGCCGCAAGCAACAGATCGTTCAGTCATTGGGACACGGCAGCTGTTGGATGCACGGAATACGATGTAGAACTCGAAGATCAGGAACACAGCGGTGCAATACGCCTGTGGTGGTGGCAGTATGCAGAAGGGCTGTGCCGTGCCCTTGAGGAGAAGCCTAAAGAGAAACGATAAAGAATTCGACTGAGCTTATGCTTACGGCACTAGCTCGTGCAAACGAGTGCAGTTTCTGTAAAGAGAGAGCTGCGGATCACATTGCAGAAGACACGCGCTACCTGACGGAGCGGATCGATAGTACGATTTCAGAGGTAAGTAATAATCAAAGAGGGTGCACCAACGCTGTCTAACTATATCATATCAGATTACTTCGAAAGCAATCTTTTTCAAAGCTAATTACGCGAGCGTTGAAATCAAACTATGACTTACAAACACGGAAAGTCAAGAAGTGCCGTATCAACTGTAATTTGGGGGATGTGAATCAGTTCTTCAGTGCTCAGGTCATGTGTACGATATCCGTTACGTGTTGTTCGAGGCCCTTATTTTATTTATCAGAAAGCTGAATGTAACGTGCTAACCTATCAGTAAATGACATAGAGAATCTCACCTGACTCAGTATGGGGTTATTCTGAAGTGATACCACGTTCCCGCAGCTACCAGTAGTACGTGCTTCAGCGCTAAAAGAGTAAAAGGTAAGCTTCGTAGCGCTTTGATTACGTGGAAAGGGGCCCATTCTTATCCTGAGAACGAGCAGCGCACCATACATATCAGGACAAGATCAGTTATAAAGAAGATATTGATATAAGAGGATACCTACCTTTCTCCACCACCCATCCTATCTCACCCATCTCACAAGTGCATCGCTAACATGGACAACGCCACAGACCATAACCACAGCCTACAAGTTGATGTAATCCTACGATCAGCAGACGGTCATGACTTCAGATTCTATAAATACTTGCTATCGCTCGCATCCCCCGTATTCGACACCATGTTCGCATTGCCTCAACCGTCTCTGTCGTCGTCGTCGCCTGATTCGAAAGATGGCTTGCCGGTGGTGGAATTAGCAGAAACGAAGCCAGCTTTGCAGAGGCTGCTTGGGATGTACCTTCCTGACTATCTGGAGAAAGACGGGAAGATAGCCAGTGTAGATGAATGGAAAGAGGTTTTCAGTGCAGCCAACAAGTACGAGATGAAGGCTGTGGTGAAATGCCTCTCGTGGAACTTGGAGTCTCTCGCTGAAGCGGAGCCCATGCGGGTCTTCGCCCTCGCCACCCAACATGGACTGAACGAGGCCGCTCAAAAAGCGGCCTTCAATACCCTCAAAGTGCCATTCGGGGGGTGGGGCGCATTCCCAGAGTTGGAATGTGTGACAGGAGGCGACCTACAGAGATTATTCCAATACCACACTGCATGTGGAAGGCTTGCCAGCTCTACCCTGAAAGATTGGTTCTTCAAAGTCGATAAGGCGTACTGTTGGTATAACTGCAGCAGTGGGAAAATATGGAACGGGTCGCAATATGTCAGCAATTGGTGGCAGACATTCACAGAAGGCCTTGCTGTTGTCCTTGAGAAAAAGCCTCTGGGGGCGACAGTGGAGGAAGGTGAATTAGCCTCCAAAGCACTAGTTGCAGCGAGCCTCTGCCCCAATTGCCGGACGATAGCTCCCGCAGATATGGAGAGATTCAGACGTGCATTTGCGGCCAGACTTGATGAAGAAATGTCAAAGGTAAGTCAAAAAAATCATTCAAAAGCGACATCATGATAACCAACCTTCCCATCTGCGCCATCTGCGAACCCTTTAGATTGTTCTGGAGAGTCGATCCTGAGGTTTCCGGGTCTTGACGAGATGCCAATGCTTCAGATCAGCGAATGGCAAACTGAGAGAGAAAGGCTGGGGTAGACGTACTATATGTATCAGATAGCGGGGTGGAGTGACAATACATACATGCTTCAGATCTCTGCCTGATCAATGGGTCTGTGAGTAACATGTCAATTGGTTTTGTCGATGGCATTGGAATTCTCGCCTGCCATCAATGGGTGATATGTCCAAGTAGTGCTTACATTCGCTGGGAAGGCAAGAGTGCGGTATTGGTCTTAACGCTGCCATCAATGGATGATATGTCCAAGTAGTATTTGAATTCGCTGGGAAGGCAAGAATGCGGTATTAATCTTAGCGGCTTGATACTGTCAATGTTAAAAGGGGGCTGGTAGTAATCTCTCTCGGCAAACCTGATATAATAAGAGAACCAAACAAGGATGGATTTCTCCGTATAAGGGGCTACTACCCCTAATTCTGAGCGCGACTATTAAAATCTGATAGCAGGACACACAGAGATCAGTTACGAGCAAGACATCGTAGTCAAAAGTCAATATCAGAGAATCCCTCCCTCTGAAACCCTCTCCTCACCGCACATTCCCCTCCACCTAACAAGTGCATCGGTAACAATGGAAAACGCTGAGGACCACCATCACAGCCCACAAGCCGACGTGATTCTGCGTTCAGCAGACGGCCATGATTTCAGATTCTATAAATGCTTGCTATCGCTCGCATCACCCGTGTTCGACACCATGTTCACATTGCCTCAACCGTCTCTGTCGTCGTCGTCGCCTGATTCGAAAGATGGCTTGCCGGTGGTGGAATTAACAGAAACGAAGCCAGCTTTGCAGAGGCTGCTTGGGATGTACCTCCCCGACTATCTGGAGAAGGACGGGAAGATAGCCAGTGTAGACGACTGGAAAGAGGTTTTCGACGCAGCCAACAAGTACGAGATGAAGGCTGCGGTGAAATGCCTCTCGTGGAGCTTAGACTCTCTCGCTGAAGCAGAGCCCATGCGGGTCTTCATCGTCGCCACCCAACATGGACTGAACGACGCCGCTCAGAAAGCAGCCTTCAATACCCTCAAAGTGCCATTTGGCGCTTGGGGTGTGTTACCAGAGTTGGAATATGTAACAGGAGGCGACCTACAGAGGTTATTCCAATACCACAACGCATGCGGAAAGCTTGCCAGTTCTACCCTGAAAAATTGGTACAAAGTCGATAAGGCATACTGTTGGTATAGCTGCAGCAACAGAAACACATCGTGTGGGACAGCATGGAACGGGTCTTTCAGTGTCACAGATTGGTGGGAGACATTCGAAAAAGACCTTACGGTTGTCCTTGAGAAAAATCCTCGAGGAGCGGCAGTGGAGGAAGGTAATATCGCTTCCCAGGCACTGGTTACAGCGAGCAAGTGCGACACTTGCCGAACGAAAGCTTACGCAGATATGGAGAGATTCAGACGTGAACTTGCGGCTAAAATTGACGAAGAGACTTCAAAAGTGAGTAAAAAATGGATCGAAAGCAATACCATAAAAACCAACCTTCCCATCTGCGAACCAATGCAGATTGTACTGGAGAGCCGATCCTGAGTTTTCCACTTCGACGGAATGTTTCGGGTCAATGATTGACAAACCGAGAGAAGGTCTGGAGTAGCTGTAAATGTGCTATATGTATTAGATAGCAGAATGAACAATTATACACGCCTCAAGTCTCCGCAGATCGACGGGTGATAGTTCCGAGTGGTACATGGGGTCACTGGAAGAACAAAAGACAATCTTAGCGCCATGATACCCTGGAAGGGCGCCCACCTCTATTCTGAGAATGAGCAGCGCACCATACATATCGGGATAGAGATCAGTTTATATAAAGAGGATATCGATATCAAAGGATCCCTGCCTTCCTCCACCACGCACCCCCATCTCAACCACCCGAGTCACAAGTGTGCTATGGAAGACACCGAACACAACCACCAGAGCCCACGAGCAGACGTGATTCTGCGTTCAGCAGATGGCCACGACTTCAGGTTCTACAAATACTTACTATCGCTCGCATCACCCGTGTTCGACACCATGTTCACACTACCTCAACCCTCCCCATCACCATTGCTCCCCAAATCGGAGGACACAAAAGATGGTTTGCCAGTGGTGAAACTTGCAGAAGAGAAACAGGTTTTACAAAGATTGCTGGGGATGTACCATCCCGGATTTTTGGAGAAAGATGGGAAAATAGTCAGCCTGGATGAGTGGAGACAGTTGTTCAATGCAGCCACAAAGTATGAGATGAAGGATGTAGTGCGAAGCCTGCCTTGGAGTTTAGAGTCTTTTGCTGAAGCGGAGCCCATACGGGTCTACGCCCTCGCCACCAAACATGGGCAGCGGGAGATCGCTCAGAAGGCGGCATTTAATACCCTCCGACAGCCGTTTGGGGAATGGGAGTTTGTCCCAGAGCTGAAATATATAACAGGAACCGACCTGCAGAAATTGTTCTGCTACCACGTCGCATGCGGAAAGCTGGCTAGTTCCACCATAGAATCTTGCCGCCAGAACGCAAATATACTGGCGGGTTCTACATTTTCTTGGTACACCTGCCGCTCCGGGTCGAGTGACTGTAAGTCTAGTGGGCTATGGTGGCAGAAAGTCATAGATGAACTTGCTGTTGCCCTCAAGCAAAAGCCAAGAGGGGGGGTATTAGAGGAGGGACATGATTTGATTACCCGAACATCACTTGCAGTAAACGACTGCTGCATTTGCCGATTGAAAGCTCCCGCAGATATGGAGAGATTCAAACACGAAATTGTAACCAAAATTGATCAAGTAATTTCACAGGTGAGCTAGAAATTATTCGGGAAGCAACTTCATCAACCCATCCAGATTACGCTGAAGTACCGACTCCCACCGACAATTTATCGTGCCAGTAGCCCATTACTAGCGAGGGCCATCTATAAACCATGCAGATTACGCTGGAGTACCGACTCCTAATTTATCATGGCCCAGAGATAAGTCTGGAGTAGACGTACTATATGTATCAGATAGCTGGGTGGGGTCAGCCAACACATGGTGTTACGGAAAGACGTGTACAGCCAAGCACAATAACCATTTGCGTTGTCCCGGTTTGTCTTGTTCCGTTGTTGATCAAACTGCAACAAATTCATCATGTTCAAGTGACGCCCTTGTGCTTTAAAGCTTCGTGTTCCAACTGGAATTCCGTGACGCCCAATTCGATCGACCGTTAACCCGTCCTACGGTTTCACCACGACCTGTTACCAAATGTTGGATTGGACAGGAACGGTAAGTTTTGACAGCGGGAGGGAAGGAGGGGGCCAACATGGAAGTGGGAATGACCCAGCAATAGGACTGAACTTCAGAACCGAATATGACGGGGTCGACGGGCCGTTGAGTTCTTGTCTACTGTATAGATTCTGTATGGATACATATTCGGGCCTGACGCTTCGTGCTGCCATCTCCAACTCGATGAGAGTGATGGGATGTTGTGTGTTGTATGATGTATATGCTATCATGGAATATCAAGGTGGGAGCGTCGAGGAAGTGCCC